TTTTTTTCGTGCAACATTAGATTAATTCCACTATAAAGTTTATAAAAAAAGATTAATTCAATGAAATGCAGATAATTCTTTTCACAGTAATCAAACAAAATAAAAAAGGTATTATTTTTTGTTATATTAAAAAACCATCAAAACTGATGTATAAAAATGTTGCCATGTGAATTCCAAAAAAATATTATTATTTGTGACTATTAAAAATGATGATTTTGTTACTAGAGAGAAAAATATTACTTTTCCACGAGTAATTGTTTTTACCATTGTAAAATCACTTTGCACATTTGGAATTATTTTAAAATACATTAAAATGCTGACAATTTTTATTAGAGAATTGAATAAATATGTCAATATTTTAAAAACATGTTTACATCTATCTTCAACATGATTCAAGTTAACAATCAAACTATATATTTATCAAATATTCTAAAGTTATTTTAAATAAAATTTTTTTACATTACTTCTTTCATCTCATTATCACGTTCCACATTCTAGTGTGACATGCACGTTCGACAATAAATTTTACCTCACCGACCAAAGTTAATATAACTTTTGTCGTAACGTTTCACTCTGATGGTGATGTTGGGCAAATATAAAAATAGTGCAAAAAGCACAAGAGGAGAGAACACAAGAGAGAGGGGGAGGGATAAAAAAAAGTTATTGACTAAGTTGGAAAACATAAAAAGCTTGTAATAAATCATATGAAAAAATTATATAATTTTTAAAAAAATATTCTATAGAGACTCCATGTAAAATAAATAATTTATTTATCAATATAAAGAATCAATTTTATTCAAACAAAATATTACATTATAAAATAATAAATAAGCTATCGTTTAGAAGAACAAACAGTGTAGGAAACCAGACATTACAACCATAGATAACACACGGTGGAACTCATATGAGCAATCCAAACGTCTGTTACCTTCTTACTAAAATATTATAGAAAGCCAATAGCTGATACTATATTTTGTAGGGAATTTAAAATATCTTAACATTAAATAATGTATAATAAATTTATTTCAATATTATTACTGGGAAAAAATTGGAATATTCAGTTTTTAAAGACAATATTAACAAATTAAAGATTTATGGATTTATTAATACATCCCATGTAAAACAAAATTTGTTCGAAGTGTTTTTTGTAAGGATGTTCCAAAAAATCAGACAAAATAAAATAAAACTAAACATTTAAAGTGTTTTTAATGTTAAACACCAATAAGGTATTTGTACAAATGAACTTCCATAGTTCTAAAAAAAACTTTATTTTGTCTCATTTTTGGAACATCCGTACAAATAACACTTTTGGAACAAATTGTTTCACATAAAAGTCTCCAATCAAAAACTTCAAGCTCTTAACCACAAAAAAATTCGTCAAGTTACTGCAATAAATTTTTTTGTTCACGAAATCCTATTATTTCTAAAACAGGACTATTTGATTCAGAATCAACGAATTATTTTATTCTTTCTAATAAAATACTCAAATCTATCACAACTGCAGTTTATTGTTATAAAATATACTCCTAGCCTTCTATTTCTAAATAACGATAATTTCAATTCTTTCTATCATGTATTATTTTATTTATTCTTATTGACTAATTTTCTTTAATGTAATTACACTCTGACAATTGAGTCCAGTCGCGTACAGTCTTATTGACGTCCCAAACGCGTGTAAAAGAAAATAAAAACGTGTCTCGAATTCACAAAGTGTTGAAAGAAATCGACGTGTCACGAAATAAAAGATAGATAGGATTCAAGTCGAATCAAGTTTTTGTTAACAAAAGGATCACTTTCATTAAAATAAATATCTTCATCATATTAAACATATTAAACGATAAATTCATTTATATATTAAACAATTTCCACCCGAATATTTAAACAATTATAATAAGAATAATACAAATAGATTAAAAAAAACATCATTCATTACTTAGATATTAAATTAAAAGTCATGCTAGTTAAAAACAGTAAAATACGATGATAAAAGAAAAATTTTATTCATAACTAGAATCTTTCATGCATACAAAATTATATTTACTCAATCTTCTGTACAGACAAGTTAGTATTCCATTTTATTTATGTATGTATATATCTATATCTATATATATAGCCATATAATTACTTGTTGAAGAGAAATGAAGGGATGAAGTGAGTCTACGCAAGGGTAATTCTTATACAAAAGAGAAAGTGATAATGTGATTCTGACAAGCGTGAGTTAGTATCACAGTGAGTTGTCGGTTAGTTCTTATATTAGCATTCGGTAATAGATCTGTCACTATTCAGTAGTTGTCAGCAATCAAAGTACTCTTTATCAGTCTCGAGGACTCTTTGATATTTTTTCCAAGCAACCACACACACTGGACTAATGATTTTCTAATATTCAATCACAAAATTATTTTATTTTATTATAAATAATTCACGATTAGATGAAATATTGATGAATAAAAAATAGCAAAAGAAGAAAAGAGATGAGAAAAATTGGTAATACATAAATTTTATCGTAGCTTCTATTTTCTTATTTAATTTATTTTTCTTCAAGAAACTAAATAATTCCAGAGTGAGATTCATTTTTTCCTGGCACATTCTCGAGTTTTCTTCCCTATCTAAGTGCACACCGATTACTCATATCAGACGAAAAGCTCCAGTGTAACCACATAGCAGTTCTGGCAACTACCCTCGTTGGCAGCTTATTGAGGTAAGTACGTACTTTGTTGAAAATCTTGCTTTTTCACTAGCCAAATTTAGGCCACTATCTCTTAGTTTGTTTAATTTCTTTTCTTTTATTATAATCAATACGTAAATCTCTACACTAAGAACAAAATTTACTAGTAAGTTACTTGTCCTATCTATTAAAACTCATGACTTACTGTCAGACAAAGAAATACAATTACAAAAACCGTTCATGTAAATATAATTAAATATTTATAATATTTTTTTTTATCAAATAATAGAGATTACAATTTAATAATGATAATAACAAAAATAAATTTTAAAATTACCGTAATAAATACCAAAAAAACAATAATTAAAAAATACAAAATTTAATCAACCAATCAGAAAAGCGGAACTATTTTATTCGTGCGCTGATTGGTCAGTTTTATTTTTGAATTTTCGAAATGAATAAAAATAAAAATTAAATAATTTTTTACGTTGTTGACTTGAGACAACGCGCAGTTTATTTCTAGTAAAAATAAAAAAAAAACAATTCATTGTTATTTATTCTAATTTTTTAGTGAGCTAATCATCAAATCCATGGCGTAAATATAACATACTTTACTTCATTGCACACTCCCACACTTGCTTACATTTGTTTATCAATTTGATTTGCTTTTAGCTTGTCAATTATTTTTTTTTTCTACTTCTTTTTCATCCCCCAATGTCCTCTAATTGTTTAAGTATTGCACATTGTCTTTACATATTTATTTATATTTATTACATAAAATTCCAACTGCTTTTTTTCCTCTTCCTTCAGTTAAGTCTATTGAGTTGAGTAAGTAGGCAATTTATGATGGATTGCTGCATCCTAGATGATCCACCAAAGTTAAGCTAGTCCAAGATATTACACGAGCTATAAAACAAACAACTTAAAGGTATAATAAATGTTATATGTTTCATATAAAGATAAGTGTAATATCGGTGAACATGGTTAAAAGAAAAGTAGTAACCGCCAGTACTATATACAATGTTGGCTTTCAGAAACATCTTCTATGAAATGAAAACACGACAACGAGTTTCTAAACCTCCATTGACATTAAACTTAAGCCTTAGATCGTATAGCATTGACGTCAGAGTACTTTAAGCTTACAAATCCTTAATTTGCTGGAAACATTTTCGACTAAAATATTTGTAGGAACTTTTTTATTTTTTTTTTCCCCTTCTCTTCATCATAAAATTAACTTATAAATTACTAATTACATTTTGTTACAATTATTTTTTTTTATTATTACATAAATTGTTTGTGAATATTTTTTATAAATAAAATAGATATGATAAATGAAAGTAAAATAAATGTAGAAATAGTTTGAAAATATTGGCAATAAAACATTGGAGTATGAAAAATAAAAATAGTTTTAAATATTAATTAATGAAATTCAAAGTTTTACGGTTATTAATCAACGTATTAAATGTAATATTTTCAGTCAGATGAAAAGCTATCGTTTTAACGTCATCACACTCGCGTTTTTGCAGCTGTTTCTTGATGATTGCCCTCTAGACACTTGGCTCTTCGCCGAGTGCAGAACTGATTTAATTGGATACTCCAGTTGAATGTTTGAAGTAGTCCAAGACTTTTGGAGTATTCCTTGAATAAACGTAGAGGAAAGTGCAATAGTTTTTGATTGTTATACTTGAGAATTTCCAATCATACTTATTGTACAAGATAAATTGAATGGATTCAGACATTTAATTACTTAATTTATCATAAACAATGAATATACTGTATGATCTTTCAATATTATCGTTATTAACTTTATATACATTTGGGAGAAACAAAAATCTTTTTCCTATATAAAAATATAAGAGAAAAAAAATTTTATAACATAGATCCTGTAGATAAAGTTTTCTAGACTGATGCTTCCAGCATCACTGATTCTATTGTTTCAAGCTGTTTCTTTGAGAAATTCCGACTTTATTTTTTGTCGTTTTTTGTTCTAAAATTTTTTTCTCAATACATTACGTGATAGAAATATATTATTACGACAATGTTATTATCACACATATGTATGTCATTCTAGAATATTTTCTAGCATTTTTTTTTTTTAGAATAAAAAATACAAAGCTAAAAAAAAGAAGATATGTTCAATTAAAATAATAATTTATGATGTATTAGAAATTGAAATACATTTGTATCTTAAACAAAATATAAATATATTTGATAATAAATTGTGAAGAAACTAACGATATATCATTATATATATATTATTTAAAAAAAAATATCAACATAAATTTTATTAATTACTTAATTAATTTACATTAAAAATAAATATAAGTCTATCATACTTTAACTTTGATACACAAATATCACAGTTTCTTTTGAACATTTTCTATGATTTTTTTTTTTAACTTAATTATTATTTATTCAATTTTTTCCGTGGATTCAACTCGTTCTGGATGTCTTCCAATGTCTTTCCTTTCGTTTCAGGCGTAATAAAGTACACAAAGAGTGTACCGAAAGTACAACAGATGGCGAATATCCAAAATGTCCAATGAATTCCTAAAGCAGTGTTCATTGCTTGGAAACTAAGTCCAACGAGAGTAGCAAATACAGATCCAACCAAAATTCCACTAGCAACTGCAGCTCCTTTAATATTTGTTGGAAAGAGTTCTCCTAAAAGAACATACGGTAGTGTTCCAATGCCAAAGACTTCCATCACATCATAAGCTATCAGTGCGACAATTGGTAGCCAAGAGATTGATGTGACATCAAGTTCTAGAAAATTTTTCATATAAAAAAAAATTCCAACGATAATTAAAGCTAAAGCTGATGATAATCCAGAAATAATCATCAGAATTCGACGTCCAATTCTATCAACAAGAGCTGCAGCAGCTACTCCAGCTACTAGTTGAAAAATTCCAAGGATTACAACTGCTTTATCTGGTGGCAATGATGAACCACTTTGAGCAAAAATCTCTTGAGTGTAAGCAACGACAGCAATGTGTCCAGAAAATTGTTGAGTAGATTTTAATCCTAATATGATAGTTAATGCTCTTCGATTACCTCGGGTTCTTAATAATTCTTTAAAAACATTTTTTTTATTTCTCGTTCCCTCATCAACTGCTTCTTTCATTTGTAAAATATCATCTTTGACATCTTCAGGATTCTTCAACCTTCGTAATGTCATGAGGCTCTTTTCAGCATCTGAGATTCGATTTTTAATGAGGAAAAAATACGGAGTTTCTGGCATAAAAGAGAAAATAACGATGAAGAGAAGTGGAACTGATAAAGAAACTAAATTTAACTCCGAATATGGTAAATATGCTCCAAGAGTCGTTACGAAAAGTGTACCAATGTTTGTTGACATTTTTAAAAAAGATCCAAGTGCTCCTCGTATATTTTTATCAGCTATTTCTGCTAAATAAATAACAGTTATATTGTAAATACCTCCATGAGCAATACCAGCTATCAATCGAGCTGTGTAAAGGATTATAAAGGATTTGGCTACAATAATGAGACCCCAACCAGCCAATTGTGGAAGTACAAATACTAATAAAGAATACTTCCGGCCAAGTCTGTCAATACAGAATGGACTTAACAGCGATCCAATTATACTACCAATAGTATATAGAGACACCACCCATGAACCTTGACTTGGAGTTATTGAATGTTCATTATTAGGATTCGTTAAATAAGGTAGAGCTGGTGATGTCCAACCTAAATGACCTCCACATGCTATGACTGACAAACATGCTGAAAAATATATGATAATAAATTGACATTGAATAACAGTAATATAAAAGATAGCTATTTTTTAACTTATAAATTATATCAATTTGATGTTTATTTTCTTTTTGCAATTTATTTTGTTAGCTTACAATTTGTACTCGTTATTTTTAAATTGATTGTCATTTTATTTATTGATGAGATTAAATGAAAAACAATTTTACATCACATTGGTAAAATATCAATTTGTTGATGAATATACAGTATTATTAATACCATCATGATGCTCTACAAGACTAATAGTAAACTTTATTATAGAGTAAAATTGACTTATTGAAATTCAACATCAATTTAAACTTGTTTTTCTAGCATTAGTTTACATAATTTATTTATATAATAGAAAGAAAAAAAACTATTCTCTAGAATTCTATGAAGTAATTACTGTTAATTATAAGTAGAATATTTTATTTTTACATTCAAAAAGGTAAAATGTAGCTTACCACTTATAGCTGCAACAAATTGTAACCACTGACTGCACTTGGGATGAATTTTTTGATCTTCCAGCTCCTTTTGATTATTTTTTTCTGGCTTACACTCGTCAATATTTCGACCAAAGCACATAAGAATATTATTTAAATACATCTTGAACTTTATTAATGATATCCAATATTTTTTTCTACTTCTGTTTTAATATTTTTGAATTTTTTCAATTCACTATTTGTTCGATACACCATTACATAACATACTTCTTCAATTAAAAACATTATTGTAACTCCAAAGTTATTGAAAAATATTATTTGATAATTAACTGAGAGATCGAAACACATTTGAACATTTTGTAAAAATTTGTATTAATTTGTGAATTACAATCAACAGCACATGGTGTATCGAACTGAAGCTTCCAAGTTAGAGCTCGCTTCTTAAATCCAATTGTGTGATGATGATGATTATGATGATGATGATGGTGGTGGTGGTGGTGGTGGTAGAGACAAAATTAAGCCAGGATGGAATTCTTTTTTTCAACATTATCTTCCCCACTATTTCATCAACAACTGTATGTTCATGTCACTGACATACCAATACAATCATCAATATATCGCAATACTGAACCTGAAGAGGAGGAATCATGGACACAACCAATTATCATGCCAGGCACAGCTTCTGCTTACATTTCTTTTGAATGGTTCCGCGTCTCAATTTACAGCCTTCAATTATTCTAAAGTACTTCCGACTGATACCAAACTATTTTATTTATTTATTATTATTCTTATTTCTTTTTGTGAAATTAATTTTTACAAATCTTACTGTTAAGTCATTAATAATATAAGCAAACAATAAATAAATATTAATCTATATAGAATTTATTTGAAAGTTTAAATACTCTTTAATTATGTATATTATTAAATAATCATTGAGATTCACAACGTGATTTATTAAATAAAAAGTTGAATAAATGAATTTAAAGAAAAGAGGAAAAATGTAATTTTTATGTACGTTATAAGTTGTTTAATCAAACAACTTAGTTAATATTCTCTCAAAGTATAGGAATAGTAATTGCAAATTGTAATTAAATGATATTAAATCGTAACATTACATTGAAACAACATTCCAATGTGTAGTTGACAATGTCGGCCAAAGATTTATGTATCCGGGTAACTTTACTTCCCTTTATTATGCATATATATTTATATATATATATATATAAATGTTAAATACATCTTACCCTAATGTCTGACATTATCCTACTTTCCCCTACATATCTAACTACAATCAATAATCAATTTAAAAAATCCATGTAATGAAAAATAAAAATAAGCTCTTCTATTATTTTTTAATAAATAAAAACACAGACTTTTTGGAAAAATTTTTAGCCACATTTTTATAAATAAAAATAATAATATATAATAAATTAATTGCAAATAAATGCATTTTATTTTTATTTGCAAAATTAAGGTGTTTAGAAACTAAATACTCGAAGTGTTTAAACGTTTTAAACAAATTATAGTTATTTTGCAGATTAATTTTAAACGTTTTATTACTAAACATTTTAATTTTTAGAATAAATTTACATGATGGGTATAATTTTTAAACTATACAAAAAATGCACGTATGTGCATTGAAATAAAACACTTTGAATTGATACATTTTTTTCAGTTGTCATAAGGAAAATCTATGGGGAAATATGAAATACCCAGGGTAAAATGAGGTTGGGGGAAAAAGGGTAAAGTGAAACACAAAGAAAAAAAATTAAATTAACAAATTAACTTATATATTAACGATTTAAAATGCATTAATAAATTAAATAAGTATTTTTAAACTTATTTCAATAAATTAGTGTTTTACTTCACCCTTCCTTTTCCTACTCCAAAAGTAATAGAATACTCCAAAAAATAAAAGAATACCCCAAATAAAAAAATTCCTATTTATTCTCTACTTTTTTATTTAATCTAATTTCTTTGTTAATTAAAAGACTATGACCAACTGTTTTTAACAACATTAAAGTCAGCATAATTTCTTACTGTCCCCACATTACCCCAATTAACCCTATTTAAGTACAACATTTTTATGGAAAAATATAAAAAATTAAAAAAGTACATTTTTTCATAAACTCCAAATGTTACCTAAAATAAAATCAATTCAGATAGAATTTAGCTTAAAAATTTTTTAAATTATTCTTTTATCAAAATAACATAACATTAAATATACATATCTTTTTTAATATTGAAAATTTGTTTTTTTTTTTTTTTTTAAATTTTAAAATTGAAGTTTTTTATTCAAAATGCGTACTAAAGACACGAGCGTGAACTTTAAAATAAATAAACGTCACGAGTTGAAGGGGCAGGCGTGAAGACGATATTTACCCGAGTTGCTTGTAAGACGCCAATGCGCACAGCAAGCTCACTATGTTCGACCAATCCTGAGATCGACTTGGTTGTCGGTGTAGCACAAAGGGGTGGTATGTCATGATCACGTGAACCCACTCCACCACGCCCACAACTACCCGTGTAATTTTATCGTTTTATTATTTCAACTCACCACCAATCTTTACACTAAATTCCTGATTTATAATTAATCCGAATAAAAGATTATCCTCACACTCACTCCAAATCATTGATAAATTATTTTCAATCAACTCTGAATGATTAATGAGACTGTTATTTTAATATTTTGATTAAATTTTATCACAACAAGGCAGTCATATTAATAATTAATACCATAAACAATGACACTCAGTCATTTAAAATTTTTATTACTCTTATGCAAATATAAATAAGCATATTTCATACGAATAGAAATGTTCATACTGACAAGTGAATAATAAAAACAAAAATGAAGAAAAGCAACTGCCAATTAAGATCAGACACAAGTGAATAAACTTAATTACTTTAACATGTATTTAGGTATTTTAATTAATTGTCAAATGTTTTTTCTTTTTATTATTATATATTAACAGTGCTTGGTGTATCAAGCCCTTTGTCATAATGTGTTTGAGATGAATTATAACTTAAATATACTCAAGCATAACTTGAGAAATAAATGCGTCGAATTTTTGAATATTGAATAAGTAAGGACGTTTTTTATAATACGGCCACTGACACCTGTTGCAAATGAGTAGTACTGAAACTTGGTAGAGTCAGGTAGTAGACTCTTTCTGTGTGTAGAATATATATGTATTTACTTTTACACACATTTTTCGCGGAGGTTTCTTCTTATCCAACTACCAACGAAATCGTGTGCCAACTTCCGCTTTGCACATGTAACTCTATATAAGTGCACACGTCGTAGGTGTGCGTTATGAATGCTTAATATACTCGTTTGTACGATATAAGCACACATTCAAGTACTCGTGACAAGAAAATGTAACGCGATTCCCGTCTATATCTTGTTGAGTCTTGTCTCTGACAATATCATCAAAGACAATATCCCTGAAACTAATATTTACATGTTTATAACAAAGTCTGAGCACAAGCGTGACACCCAAATTCCTTGCTGTCAAAGATATCTCATTTTAATGCCTATCCACTCGTATGACATACCTGACAATAATATTATTATACAATTACTCATTCTCAGCACGTTCTTAATAATATCTCACCGAAGATGTGCAATATTCCTTTAATTAATTTTACTCTAATATTATTAATATATTTAAAAATATAAAAAACCCTAGAAAAATTAGTTGAAACACTGCAAGTGTTTAGTCATAAAACACTGCAAGTGTTTAGTAATAAAACACTTCAAGTGTTTACAATATTGAACGCCATAAACAAACTTTAGATTAAAACACACTTCAAGCTGTGTTATTTTAACACACCTTTGATTTACAGTGTAAGTTGTGATTCATTTTAAAAAAGATTTTCTTTGTACTAAAAGTAATGTCATTTGGAAAAGATCATGTACTTATAAATGATCAAGAAATATTTTAATGTATGTTAAATTTATATTTTTTCATACACACCATATCATATAATGCATATGAGCTGAGAAAAAAATAGTTTTATTTTATTGAATATTCAATATTGAGTCGATATTAATTTGGGTCGAGGATGTAAATTTTTGGAATTTTAATCAAATTCTAGTTGTTTGAAACTGCCTTCAAGTCCAAAGAGATCTAACCCTGTTATTGGCGTTTCTGGCTTCTTTGACTTTGTCACTTGATATTGGGAATTTTTAATAAACCAGTCGGGTTTTTCGTTTATTTTTTTCTATACATTCCCTCTAATGTTAATGATTTCAATGAAAAAAAAAATAATAAAATGAATGTAAATTTTTAAAATAATAAAATAAATAATTTTAATTGTATTTAATATTAATTTATATCAGAATCAATACAATGAAGAGTACTCCATTGGGGCTATTGAAAACTATCTTTATTCAGAAGTTAGAATATTTGTACATTGAACTATATTTTTGGCGATTTATTGTTACAATTGTTAGATATATTCATTCTTCATTTTATTAATTATTAAAAAAATTCAGTTGATGCTAAAACTAGTAAATACACTTAACAAGTAAATGATCAATATTGAACGTAATATCTTATCTTTTATTTGTGATTAATTTTTCCAAGTATAACAGCACATTATTGATAGGCCTCTCATCATTATTAATAATGAATAACATAAAATAGTTTTATCGGTAACACTTGATCTATATCACGGACGGCGATATTATATTGTTAAATAAGCAATCACTTTCGTCCAGTACTATTTATTATTATTTAAATGTTTTTATTGTTACTATATAAATGACTATTTTTCATTATATCGAGTTGCTTTCGATTAAACTTTACTATAAATCATTATATTATAACGTAAAATTGTTATATAACATTCAGTTGTTTACAATTTATCTTAGAATATTTTTATTGGTAATAAATCAATTGATTATTTTTTCATTCATTATAGTTATCATTTTTACCTTTTTTTTTATACATTTAATATGTTTTTAATTTTATTGCAAACTCAATATTCCGTAATAATTAAATGAGACGAATTAAAGAATAATGTGTAATTGATTAATGAATGTTACTTCTGGTTGAATAATTTTAGTGATTTGACACACAATAATTTTTTGTCTTTGATTAAATAAAAATATTTTGAATATAAAAAACTACATATGTAAGAGAACGATTTGTTTTCCATAATTGACTGAATTTATTTTATACGATTAAAATCACTATTAATTAGTTTTACACTCGCAATTATAAACTCTAAAAATAATCAAGATAAGAAATTACTAATAATAACGTATTTTTTAACTTCAACAATATAAAAAAAACCACTTATAATTTGATTTGTGTTGTTTAAATATTTTTTACTTTAAAATAAATAAAATCTAATTACATCTATATCATAGTAATCGTACTTAAAATGCAAGCTATGTTTACCTCTTAACAATAAAAATAATTCTCCATATAAATATAACTATAGTTGCCTGATAAAAATAAATATTGTTATCATTAAATTGTTTATTATTTATTAAGAATAAACAATGGAAATTTGTCTATAATTTAATATTTTCCTGTAGTACCTCTTATTCTGAATAAATAATTATCTTTAATATAAAAATTTTCATTCTGAAAAATAATAAAACAGAACTATTTTCCTTTTTAAAAATAATTATTACTCTCATGATTCTACTTTTCTACCGGAAATAGTTTTTCTCTACTCACATATAACCAATAAGCCAATAGACAATTATTTTTTTTCGTAAAAATACTTTACATTCAGAAAGAAACTACTGTAATCCCAGATTACTCAATTACAATCATTAATAGAAATAGTTTTAAAAAAAAATAATTGATAAATTTGTTCTAAGAGAAACGTAGTTATCGTTAAATAAACATTTCTTCTCTTACACTCCTTTAATTATTAAGTATTTATCCTACTTATTCACATAAAGATTTAAACAACATAAATGTATATAAAAAAACAATTCCGATTGACTCATGCTAAAAGAGTTAAATTCAAAAAGAAAAGCAATATTAATAAATACACTAATACATAATATATTATAATATTAGTATTATTAAATAAAAATTTGAAATTTGAGAATATTTTCAATATTCACAAATAAATTGTTTCTTTTCTAGTTTTCGGAGTAAATTATAACTTTAATTTCAGTTTCTTACAATTTTGAACATAAAAAAAGTACGACAACTAGAAATTATAATCTTATTTCAGTAGAAAATAAAATTAAATAAGACATTTATATCAAATTAAACAATACTCATGATTGATTCTTATTGCATAATTAAATGAATTTGTTTGATCATTTTCTCGAAATTTCGTAGTTTAAATTCGTTGTATGCATATACAACTAGCCTCTCACTAACGATTATCAATTTCTGGAAGAAATCTTTTTGTGGAAGCTTTATGATGCATAAATGTTCATTATTCACTACTATGTATGATTTCCAAGATAAAAATAAAAAGCTATTACTGGCAAATTTTTTGTGATAAGCATTACTACTCATGTTCATTATCTATAATTAATTGTTCATTTCTATACTTTCAATTGAATGAATTTGATAGATCTCATTTTTAATGTTGAAAAAAAAAGTCTAATTACATAAATCTCTGTTTTCTATTGTTATTTATGTTCAGTTCAATATAACAATGAGAGCTGAATGTGACTAATGTAACTCCGGACAATTCTCATTTTTAGAAGATACGCACTTGGTGCTGCTGTCAACGTCGTCTTCCTGTCTTACATCTAAATCGTCAATACTATCATCATTATCATTGTCATCATCTTCATCATTACTTTCTTCCTTATAATCTTCTTTACTTTGATCCTTGTCATCTTCATCTTCGTCTTCATCCTCTTCAAGTAATTTTTTTCGAGCTAATTGAACAGCTTCCCATTCTCGATAGTGACCTCTTCTTTTCGCCTCAAAGGTTTTACGTCTTTCTGTAATATTGTTGATTTTCAATTAGTTCACATTATAAAAAGTCGATACAAATAATTCACGGTATTTTTTTTTTTAAATAAAAGAATTTCTCAAATATTAAAATGATTTTTTGAATAAATTATTCGTTGAGGATGCATATAAAAATGAAATAAAAATAATTACCTCGTTCTTCAGGTGTTTCTATTTCATCGTCATTGGATAAATCGTCAAATATTTTCGGTTTTATACTTTTAGCTAACCTAAAATATAATGAATGATTTTTAAAAAATACAAATTTTTAAATATTTTCTATAACCTACTTTTCATTAATAGTTGCTGAATCAAGCTCATCATCTTCATGTTTGTTACCATAACCTTCATAATTATATGGAGTCTTTGGTTCATCAATCTTCATATGCCCATAATCTTTTTCTGCAGGATGTAAAGTAGCAATGATATTCATTTCATCCCATTTCGTTTCTTTATTTGGCCTGTGTGAAATCAGATATTGATTATGAGATAAACGAAACGTATGCAAAATGAAAGAAATTATCCAATAACTACGTATAAAGAATTAACAATCAAATGAAATACATAGAATGATTTAAAAAATAGATGAAAAAACAATAGATATGTACCTTGGAGCTTCATGACTGTCAAAACTACTTGATGTTTTCAAAATTCCTTTAGAAGGTCTTTTTCCTAAATTTTCTGCCATTATTTATGTTGATATAAACACAAATAAACAGGTGACATTCAAAAGGAAATGATATTTAAGATCTAAGTGTGCAAATAATTGCACAAAATTTGAGTACTTTCGAGTGACTAGTAATTTAATCCATGTTTAAATTCTGTAAATATAAAATTGGAATTATTTATAATCTGCTGAAAATGTGATGGAGAATAAAACAAAATAATACTCGGGCAACAGTAACGAGATGACGGAAAAAAAAGAACGATAGCTGAGAGTAAGGTCAATATGTTTAACAATCACAACAGTATTGAGACAATATGGCCACTAGAAGTTTATCACGTGTTCCTATAGTCGAACTGAGAAAAGAGTTCCTCAGTTGCTTCAATGCTTTCGGGTTCCCCACCACTGATTTTCTACCCCTTCTACCATGTTTTTTACTACTGCGCAAGCGTACAAGAACACATGAAGAGCTTCTGAGGAACTCTCTTCTCAGTCCGACTATATATATTAGAACCCTTTATAAAATCTCAACAGCCACATATATTTTATATTCTAGGATTCGTTTCACCGCTAGGCGACGCTGAAGGATTGATTAATTTTACAGGAAATTTTGAAAATGATGAGATGGAAAAGGAGATAATCAAACAATTATCAAACAGCAAAGTTTGAGTTAATCGAACTGTTATGATTGACATCTTGGATCAATCTGAACTGATACAGTTCATTTTATGCAGTTCATCTCACACATCCCCACTCATTTATTTTGTTTTCATATCTTCGCTTTTCCTGATGAATCATAATGATAGGCGTTTACTGAAAAAATTTTAAATATTATTCCGTGAAAAGTACGAAAAATACGTTTTTTTCTGATATTTGGATTAATTACCAATAAGGCTGAAAAGAGGGCAGTAGTGTGTGATCCGTTTTACCACCAGGTGGCGCTGAAGCATCGACTCAAAATGTGGGAAAAATTCAAAGGATTAAAATAGACAGGTGATAATAAAATAATTTTTTCTACTTCTTTTTCTTTTCAGCTTCATTTTTCGATTTTCAAGCTTATCGTTTGTTCCTTAATTATTCTCTTCTTTTTATCAATTTGTCTCTCTATTGTATTAATAAATTTTTCTAAAATTATAATCTATTATCTGAAAAACAACCCTGTTATACCAACAGAGTCATGACCTCGGTTTATTTTAGTTTCTCTAGATTCTTTCAGAGTCAGATAGAGACACACTGACGATAATAAAAAAAAAGATTTTATATAAAAAAAATCTACCCTTTGATAGACATATTTGTACTGAAGCAAGGAACAGAGACTTAGGGCTCACGAAGCATTCATATTGAGCCTGTAATACCACTATGAATACCCTTTCATACCAGAAAAAAAGATTTAGAATCAATTGTTATTAATCAATAATTAGAAAAGACGATTTATTCGAACATGATCATATAAATAAATATTTATGTACGAAGTTATATTAAATAAATAAAATAATAGTAAAACTTTGCTTTTTGGAGAATTCACGGTTGAGTATTATTTCTTAAAGTTCATCTGTAAAACGTTCGATATCCTGAAGATAATCACCATAATCTGTAGCTTCACTTCCAACAAATACATCATGATGATCCAATATTTCATCAAAAGATAGTGTATTATCATGATCATCATCTGATGCAGCAAATAAGTGGTCAACTTCATCCGTTGCTATTTCCCTAATTAAAATAAATCAATTATTTATTGATATTGAGATTCTATTAATTATGATTAAATATAAAATTACTCACTCATTACTGGGTACAAGCCATGATAATATTTCATTTGAGTCAAGTTTTCCATCACCATTTTTATCATGTTCATGATCAAATTTATCTTTCTCAACTACGAGCCACTCTTTGTTTTCATTTTGTGCTCGAGTACCTAAAAATTCTTGAAAACTGAGGTAGCCATTTCTATCAATGTCTTTTTCATCAAGAGTTTGTTGTACCAAGAATTGATACATTTGAGGTGTTTCTTCTGGATGAGTGTAAGCTTTAAATTCTTCCGCATTTAAATATCCATCTTTGTTAAAATCAGCAGCATGAAACATTTTTTTATCATTACTCACGAGTGCTTCATCAATAATTAAATCTTCTGGATCAGAACCGTACGTATCGTGAAGTATTTCTTCCCAAGTTATTTTTCCATCTTCATTAGAGTCAGCATCTTCCAATCGATCTCTAGATTCTTCTTCAGTCAACATACTAATAAATAAAGAATTAATATAATATTTCTAATATAAAAATGCCTGATTCTGATAGATTCCTCACCTAAATGATCTCAGAATCCAAGCTTTCAGTTCATTTCTTTCAATCACTTCATTTCCATTTAAATCCATTTTTTGTAATAAAATTCTCAAACGCCTTTTAGATTCTTCTGCTGGCAATTTATCAAATTCTTCAGCATCCTTTACGCTTCCTGTATATTAAAAAAAAATGAGATGTACCTTTGTAAACAAATAAAAAAAAATTATTCTGTAACCTACCGAGGATAGCTTCATGATCAAATTCATGGTGATGCTCTCCATTATTGGAGTAGTGATCGTTATCACGGGGGCTGAATGCTCCATCTTCTAATCTTTCGGTATTTTTGTGCTGATGAATATGAGCTGATGCACAATAGCATCTCAATGATAGTTCAAGAATATAACAAAGTATAAAAAAAATATGCACTTTATGTATTTCTTTCATAACTTTTTTATTTAATAGTTACACAGTTTCTTTAATATAACTACAGATAGTTTACTATTCTTTTTATTATAACAATCTACATGTATTTTTAACAGATTACTCCCAAACGTTGGTATAATAACCCAGGGATAATATTGGCTATGTTTCCACCTAGTGAAGTTGAGTTCAACAGAGTCGAGTTGAAAATAGAGTTTCCACCGGAGTTAAATGAAACTTAAAATTATTTTTACCATTCATTTAAAAAAAAATTTCAAGTCGAGATCACCTCTTAATAGATACTTTGTACTCAACTTCCTGGTGGAAACGAAAAATATTCGACTTGAGAAAATAGTGAGATTGAGTTTGCGTTTTGGAGTCGTGTAATGAACGCAACCCTAGTATATTTTATGTCATGTACAGTCGGAATAGCCAAAGCTTTGGCTAATTTGACTATAAGTTTTTTTTTAGATTCGTGTGTAGGTCTTGGAGTATTCCAACAATAAAAATTGAATTAAACCTTATTTATTTTCAAAGTTTTAAAATGCTTTAAACTATTAAAATGGTACTTAAAATTGATTTTATCGCTTGAGAATGACGGTTAATAACCTCTCAACACTCCGACACATTGAAATAGAAAAGGCCTACTTTTTCAAATTGCTCCTGTAATAATACATAAAGAATATACAGTTTAATTGTTTTGAATACAGTAAAACATGTTTATAATGAAAAAATAAGAATATTTAATTGTTGTGTATTTTTATGAAGCAGACAGTGAAGATCATAATCTCATTTAAAAAAGAATGCATAAACATTTTTTATTATTAACTCCAAAAAGATGATTTTTATTTTAATCTGATCTGACACATGAATATTATCGTACATTATTATTTTATTACCAATTAGATGAAAAGATAGAATTATTTTCTATTTCAGATATGTTTTTCGAATGAATTTCTATTCTAAAATGACACAAATAGGATAACAGGAAAGGGTTAATTTGATGTCATCTGGTAAACTTCGTTACCACTAAAAAATATTTAATAAACTTATATGAATGGAGTCTCTTTATAAACATAAGACAAAGAGTATAAAATAAATCAATTTATTTCAAATATTCCAACAATTTTGTTCTTTAAATGATGAATCTACTCCATATCCAAGATTTTGAAAGATTATCAGAATTATTTACAAAGAATAAATTCAATGTTAAATTATTATAAACAATTATATATAACAACTTACTAAGAAGTATGTACGAAGTAATTACAGAATGCAACACTTATTATATAGGGGTTCTAATACTCAGTGCATTTCATGTTAATCATTTGAATTCACATGAACTTGCAGTGATAATATTAAAAAAAATTATTTCTTAATAAATTTAAAACAAAATGATAAATAAATTTATGTTAACTGATTTACATGAAAAAAAAATGAAGAAAACTGGAAAGATAAGATTTAACAGACTTTATGGAAACCACATTAATTGCTGTAAATGATCTATGATTACAAATTGTTATATTAAGATATAATAATGATTAAAAATAACATACTGATATAAGGTAAGAAGTGTTTTAGTTTAAAAATAAAATATAATTCTAGTAATAATTGTAGAAAATTTAAAGCATTGATATTTTTTTCTTCCATCAGTAAAATTTCTTATCTTAAGACCATATCGCGTGAGTGAACCATCCTCGTGGAAAGAAAGGAAGCTTCTGAAATCAGCATGTAACGATGTAAAATCACCGATGCGTAAATTAAAGGGTTCTCCACGAATACGTAGACACAGGAAAAAAAATTCTACGTTATATATTTATTATTAACAGAAGTTTAATTAGAACTTTTACATATTGAAGAATCGCTTTATATCTAGAGAAATGGTACAGTATTATAGATTTATAGCATCTATTATTGTTGAATTTTGAAAATTATATTAGTTCAAATTGTGTATATATTTTTTTTTTTAAATTATTGTACATGCGCGCGTGAGGGAACGAATGAGTGAAAGCGGTAGAGCGCGAAGCAGCAACAAGCGCCGAGCCGTGTTTCCGGCTGTCTTTTGCTAATGTTGCATTATACTTGGTTTATACTGCGTCAAGTTTCACACACTTCTTGATGATTTTGTGTAATTGTTAGTTTTTTTTTTTTATTTGTATGCACAAAAATGGTTTTATAACTAATAGAAGATGTACACCATCTCGATATATTAATTTGTTTTTATCTATTTTAGAATTAATTCTTTCTGATTATCAACCTGACTTGATGTGCTCATTCAACAAAATCAATTTTGAATATTAAAAAAAAAACCTAAAAATTTCTACAAAACAAATTCTTGATAAAAAAATCATGTAATATCCAACATAGCAATGTCATGTAGCAATATCAGTTATGAAAGAAAAGCAGAGTTTGAGGAATTTATTCGAGTGTTACAACTATTGTAAATAGTTTGAATTTTTTTATTTATTTATTAATAAGAAAAAACAATGCATCAACGGCTAGAAGCAGGTGATTGAGAACAATCTGTTGAGATACCAAGTAGGTAAATACTTAAATAATGACTGTCAATTTAAGACTCTGGAAGTGCCATGGCAACAGAAGCCATCTGGCATACATCAAGGTAATAGAGAAAAGAGACTGTCTTAAAAAAGAAAGAGAGAAAACGCAAGCGAGCGTACCTATCTTTTTCAAGTCCGTGAAGACGACGTTACGGTGTTGAGTTTAGAGATGCTCGGTTAATGCACTTACTACATACCCTGTGGCCGGTGAATATTGTACGTTCAATGCAGTACAACTCTGTACAAAGAAGAAACGTTGAATCTTTAATGGAATATTTTTTTTATTTAAGAATTGAATAATTTTCTAATAATATTTAATTATAACGTGTTATAGACAATTATTTTAAAATATTCCAATGATATTAATAATTACTTTTATCTTTGTTATTGTTAGTTAAACATAAATGAAATGATGTTTATTTATATTTGAATGAATTAAAATTTCTAAACATTCTTTATTCAACATCTTTCAACAATCAGACTGGATACTCTGATTCATTGTATATTCTTTGTTAGGCTAAGCGCTCCACTAACTTTTTAGCTCGAGTCCACTGACCCCGCAAGGGAATCAACGATGTGCAACAATAATTTTTTACTCTACAATAATATAATAAAAATAATAATAATAATCAAAAACTAAATGAAAGAAACAAGAATTACTAATACTATCCAAAGTTAAATTTTTTCTTTCGACAGCTGAGTGGAGAAAATACAGTGCAGCAAAAACCGATAAAATTGATTATAAAATTACAAAAGCATTAAATCTACCGGTTGCGTATAAAATTGGTTTCCTAGACAAAAATTTGTACGAGTCATCTTTCTATTATAATCGAATAGAGAAGTTTTGAAAAAAAATTTGTTTAAACCTTTTTTTTCCTGACAATAGATAATTACGGTGCATTTGATGGTGAAAAAAAGGGGAAATTTAAAAAAAAAATAAAATGAAAATTCTAACGATTTTCTTGATTTTTGGCTACATCATGTCATGCTCCACTGGATTTACTTGAATAAATTGTCATATATTTCAACACAATTTTATTATTTCTTTTGAACGGCTTATAAAATACCTAGCCAATATAAGGACACACAAAAGCAGTGATGGAATTGGGTGATAATTTAGTATTAATGAACGTAAAGAAAAAAAATGGACTTATAACAGTACTTGTTGGTATGAAAAGGTAGACTTTTGATGCTGCTGATTTACTCGTTGTTGAGGTGAATCACTCTAACGTCAGGTCTTATCCCTTCTCTTTCAAAGGTAATACTATGAAGTAAGGGTTGCCCTTCTCCTTATGCTAGACTCTAACTGTTACATGATATACTGTCCTTTACCAACTCATCATTTCACACATAAGTTTGGCTCATGTTCAATCTTACAAGGATATATAGGAGAGAAAAGTAGAAATGAAAAAATAAGAGAGGGGCATGGACTCGCAGGCAGGTTGGTTGTGTTAGGTCTCTTTTACTATACGGCCCGCTGAGCACCTTCCTTTCCTTCGACCAGCCGGCATGCAGGTTGTAAGCGTAGTTTACCTGGCAATACTTGCCAGACTACAAGTTTAGTTTGCTCACGTCACTTTGAGCAACTGGTTCGACTTTGTGTCAAAGAGTAGTGTGTCAGATAGAAATGAGAAGAAAAAATATTCACATTCATTTGTATACCTAGAATCAGTTTAAATCAACGTTAGCTACGTTTGCTTTGTATATACATACTGAACAGGATAATAACGTAAATGTATTTATATCGATTTGTTAATTTAAGACAAATACAAACCTCGGTCAGTACGATTTAATATTATTTATTTCTCTTATTGATGATAAGGATTATATTAATAATCAGAATAACATTGGTGATGGTGGTGGTAATTGTAATGGTGAGTCAACATACTTGTGACGTAATATCATTGTCAGTCAAATTTCCTGAAAAAAATCACTGTGGTATTAATTTTGCACAAATATATATAAAGCTAAAGAAAGAATTATGTGACTTGTAAAAGTAAGAGGTACATGCTATAGTAAAGAAACATATTCAATGAATCATTATTTATCATTATTGTTGCTATAAATATTTTTTTATCGACTTTATCAATTAATATACCAACATCAACTAAAAACAATTTTTGTCAATTAAATCACTATTTTTTTTTGTTGTTTTATTTCCATACCTCTTTCTCAAGTTTTATTATGATGATACACAAGATATTAACCGCTATCTACAATTTGAAAGAATAAAAGACGTTTTTGAAGAGTATTATGTTCATTTGTAAAAACGGAAGTAAATTCTCACAGATTTATATTCCCAGTTCAAGGGCGCACTTTTGTGACGTAAAAAAAAAAAGTAGAGAAGAAACAAAAAGAATGAGGTAGTAGTAGATAAAGAAGCAGATGATAGAAACGAAAAGCCGAGAGTCAGAAGTGTAAATGTGTACGTGTGTGCGTGTGTGTGTGTGTGTGTGAGTGTATGAAAAGAAGGAAGCAAAGTCGCGAGGTCGTTGGAAACCAGTTTCAGCAGTTGGAACGTCTTTTTTCAACTTCTCTTCTTGAAGTACGTGTACTTTTGTTCATTTGCGCGGTAGACTTCTGGAATAAGAATAATGAGAGCGTGAGAGAATCGAAAAGTTTGAGTCAATGCCAATGTTAATGATGATGATGATGATAAAGACGATGATTATGATTCGGTCTACTGACTTCCGTTGAAACTATTGCCAAGACATTAAGAAGTGTGGGAATGTTCATATAATGGAATAAATTTTATGAATAAAAAGTTCAACATGCTATATTATCATGTGATTAATAATGTTATGTTTTTTTTTAATTATGTGAATATAGTTACTGTTTAAATAATATTTGATTGTTATTAAAATAATTGATTTGTTTTTTTCTTATTTTAGGAATGGTATGGATAATTAAAATAGCCTTAGACACTGTCAATGGCACTGGAAGAATTCACGGGGTATATTAATAACGAACCCGTGGAACTCCCGTGTCATACACAGCGTCTGGCCATTCAACAAGCGGTATCCTCCGGAAGCCCGTATAGTTCATCGTTTCCAGTGATAGTTTTGATAACTAAAATGTTACCTTTTTTTTTTATAATTTATGGAAATGTAGTCCAAGATTACACCTATATTTAGTTCTGTAATTTTATTCCAGGAAGAAAAAATTGTATTTCACAACATTCATTTTGAATGATAATTATAAATAAATGATCTTTTAAAAAAATACTGTTAAGTAAGAAAAATAATTGATAGGAAAATAATGATGATGTTTTTGAGTCAAGAGTAGTGACGAATTATAATTAAAAATGATACTAAGTGGTATATAAAGTACCTGGATGTGGCTTCTGTTGTATCATTCTACAGTTTTGTTTTTTTAAAATAAATTTATTGAAATGTGTGAGTATATCTTCTGAGAAAATTTATATGATATATCATGACACAGGTGTTATAATTAATTAATAATTTTTTATTGCTGACTGATGTATTTGTCGTTATTTGAAAATAAATATTTTTATCACTGTAATTATTGTTGGAGGATATAAAATTTGGAGTACATGGTGCTTATTTTTGGAAGATAAAAAAATATACAAGAATTAAAAATATCAAAGAATATCAGCTTTTTCATAAAGGCAGGGAGTGGGGGAATGAGAGAAACAAATTAAAAAACGCACAGTGAACTTGGTAGTCTTATTGTTTGCGCGCAACGATGCAGAAAGCCGAGTTTCCGGTATCTTTAACGCGCACTCACTTTTATGACCATGACTCGGTTTATATCTATTTATTTGTATAAACTTCTATACGATAGAGTAAATTTTTTTTTTTTTTTCATGAACTTGAATAAAATTGATGGACAAATATTGAGTAATTTTAATCAATCATTGTGTTGTCCATTCACACTTGGGAAATTTTTTCCTAAAAATAGATTAAGTAATAATTAGATAATATTAGTAACAATGACAAGTTTGAAATAATTGGAATTTTCTTACACATTTAAAACATCAAGCTATTTGTTATTAAATATTTATTTGTATTATTATAAATTATTTATTCATTTTGGAGTTTATAATGCTGCCAATTTAGGATAATTTAAGTGTTTAGTAATAAAACACTTTAAGGCTGGGTTTTCCTAACCTCAAATAATCTCAAATTTTGTCTTCCCCTCTGTATATCATTTTCCTCACTTATAAATATTTTTTACATGAAAAAAATTAAAAATATGTAATTTTATGGGAAAAATTTGAGGTTAAGAAAGCTTTAAAGTGTTTAATAATAAAACACCTAAATGTTTACAATGTTGAATGCCATGAACAAACTGTAGCATTTTGGTAAACGACAAAAAGTGTTTAAAATTCATCTATAAAATTACTATAGTTTGTTTACGGCTTTAAACATTGTAAATACTTGAAATGTTTAGTTTCTAAACACTTGGATATTCAGTGTATTCTTTTTTGGAGTATACTCCAAAATGAATAAATGAATATAAAATACTTAAATGAATTAAAATAAATAAATAAAAATGATTTATAATAAAATAAGATATAAATTCATTTTTTGTATTCTAAGGAAGAGTAATAGATAACATTTTTTTTTATAACCTCTAATTATAACGTAGGAATATAATAAAAGTTTGAACAAAATGGAGCCATAAGAACTTTTAATATTTTTAAACTTAGTTTATGTAACAGACATTTTATATATAATAAATAGATAAAATATTAAATATGAGAGTCAGTAAAAGATAGATTTTATTATAAAAAAAGATATTCTACAGTTATAAGCGGATCGTATATAATAGTGCGGGTCAAGTGAGAAAGTAACCCAGAATGATAGAAATTTCGAAAGAGAAAAGGACAGTTAATATCGATGAAAACTCAAGAAGAGAAAAAGTGTATGTGTGCGTGTGTATAAAAAAGATGGGATAGGAGGGAAATAGAGAGAAAGTAAGTAGGGAACAAGAGATCAGGCGTTGGAGACTTGGATCAGTTCAGTAGTGATGCTTTGCGTCAGCGATGTGATCAAATTTTATACATTTTTGACAATACGAATGAAATTCATATTGATGTCATTAATGATTAATAATAAGTTATCATGATATTTATTATTTAAAAAAAAATGAATTATTGTGATGTACTAATTTTAAATTAATTTTTAAAAAGCATCAACTCCAAGGAAATATTTATAGTGCGTAAAATACTGAATCTATTAATGGAAGTATATAGTTAGTTTTAGAGTTCAACATAGCTGTTTAAAAAGTGGAAAAACAGTAAATATACAAAATAAGTTTTGAGGTAATCGCTGTTATTAAAAACAGACAGTTTATGAAAATTTGTACTGTCAAAAATGGACTTTTGCTTCATTTGTTAGTAAAGAGAAGTTTGTATTTTGTTTTGAAAAGAGAAACAAAAAAAAAACACGTAATGTCACAAGAGAATGTGGAAAGGAATGAGGGTGATAGTGGGAGCGAAAAGAAGATGAAGAGAAGTGAAGAAAGCCAATATGAACAATACAGTATAGATGAACTAAAGATCATAAAAACAATAGGTCAGTAGAATAATTAACCAATAAGATAATTGTTATAATAATAACAGACAGAGAAATATAAGTGGAATGTTGGGATTCTAGGCTAAAATTTGAAAGATATATACGGACTGTAATGTGAGAATGAAACTGTGGAATATGACACTGTCGTAGAAGAGGCAAAAATAGTGTTTATATTTAAGTAACACAAATTTACTGGCTCTAAGAAAATCGTTGAAAATAACTTTTTTTAAAAAATAGTTTTAATTTCGTAATGACAATATATGTGTCTTTATTTTGTCATTAATAGGAACAGGAACATTTGGTCGAGTCGTCTTATGTAAACATCGAGGAGTTTCTTTAGCCCTAAAAGTATTATCTATGATTGATGTAATACGATTGAAACAAGTGGAACATGTCAAAAATGAAATTGCAGTACTGAAAGAAGTGAATCATCCTTTTATAGTAAATATGTGAGTTATTTAGGAAGACAATAATAATAATATTATGCTAATATGTGGCAATGGAGAATTAATTCATTTGATTTCAGGGTATGGAGTGGTCGAGATCAGTCAAGAATTTACGTTTTGTTAGAATTTGTAGTAGGTGGTGAATTGTTTTCATATCTCCGAGCAGCTGGAAGATTTACTGGACCTACAAGTTGTTTTTATGCAGCAGAAATAGTTTGTGCACTTGATTATCTTCATTCGAAACACATTGTATATCGTGATTTGAAACCTGAAAACCTGTTGTTGGACCATGAAGGTCACTTGAAAATTACAGATTTTGGATTTTCTAAAAAGTTGTCAGATAGGTAAATATAACAGTTCATCACATAGTCTTGTTAGAAGCATAATTATTCTAATAGTTGCTTTTCTATGTGTTGTAGAACATGGACACTATGTGGAACACCAGAATACTTGGCACCTGAAATCATTCAAAGTAAAGGACATAATAAAGCAGTTGATTGGTGGGCATTAGGAGTTTTAATTTATGAAATGTTGGTGGGGTATCCTCCATTCTTCGATGATAATCCCTTTGGAATCTATGAAAAAATATTGGGAGGAAAAATTGATTGGCCAAAATATGTTGATCCTATTGGGAAAGATTTAATTAAAAAATTGTTGATTGCAGATAGAACAAAAAGGTTGGGTAATATGAGACAGGGATCTGAAGATGTCAAAAAACATCGTTGGTTTAAAACGATTGATTGGCAATTGGTATGTAGTAACAGTATAAATAAAAAATAAGTAAGCATAGTATATAATAAATATAAAAATTACGGTTTTAGGTTCAACAAAAAGCATTAACACCACCAATAGTACCCCAAGTAAAAACTTTAGAAGATGCAAGTTGTTTTGATAGTTATCCAGAAATTGATTGGAATACTGAATTACCACCGTTGACTCCGGAACAGTTGCAGCTGTTTCAAGATTGGTGAAGTTTAATTATCAGTTTTGAATTATTATTTTGTAAATATGAAAATGTTAATACATTTTTTCGATTGTTGTTAGTGAATATTATTGACAGAGTAGGATGGGTATTTGAAGTAAAGTGTGATAGATAGTAAAATGATTGAATTCAAAAGTTATTAGGAGTATGAGAGTGAAGAAATAAAATTAATAAATAATAAATATTTAATTAAGATAAATGACTTGTAATTAATAATAAATTTGAAGTCAGAGAACAGAAGAGACTGGTAGTAGATATGCTAATTTTGTAAGAAGTTTAATTTATTAAATGAATAGAGAGAAGCGAAACAAATTCTTTAATTTCAAAACTGATGTGTTTTGGTCCTTAAATACTATTAATCTTTCCATGATCGATTGGAGTTTTATTCCTAAAGTCCTCAGTTGTGTTTCAGTTGCATTGAGCAAAAAATTAATAGTTGAGGTAGTTTTTAAAGACTGTAGAAGATATACAGAAAGAGAATGATAAATTTTAAAATTTAAATAGCAAAAAAGTGCAATTGTTGATGAGTGTATCAGAAATAAGTAGGTGGATGGAATAGAAATAAGGGTTGAAGTGGAAGTATATAATGAAAAGAAGATTGCTGTCGAAGGGGATGATTTGTATGCACGTAGTTGTGAGTGATTGTAAGATAATTTCTCCAACTATAATTACCATTGGTACTCCGTGACTGTTGATTTATCTATTCCAAAGATAAAATCAACTTAAAAATATCCTTTAAATCCGTCCTGAATAAATTAATGCAACGTTTCGACTAAGAGAAAACTCCCTGATAGCCATACTTGTTGATCCATTATTGATAAAAAATATTAGATGTCAATTTTATTGCAAGATGACACCACTAAAAGGATTCATGCATTGAATCGTTTTTTACATCAATATATGCAGGAAGAAATTAATTTTAATTTTCATAAATAAAAACACATTCCATTATAAAAATACATATCAATAATAGGACTGAAAGGAATGTTAACATAAACAAGAGATTAAATACAAATTACAGGCATTGTGAATGAAAGTTATATAGACAATAATGTTGAGATTATTTCAGAATTTATCGACACTTCAGAATTAATACTTGGTTTTTATTTAATCAAGCTACAAATAATAAAATGCTTCACATTTGTATATGTAGTATTTTATACGTATAAATATTATCTTATCTATAAAATCAATTGATTCCAATTATTTGTAAAATACTTTATCCCCTTGTTTCCATAATTTTATCTTCAATGCTAAGTTTTATTAATATTCTCTTTGGCATTTGTAATATGTTATATACTTAAGGCATCTGTTTCACAATTATTGTTTTACTGATTTTATTTGTTCATAAATTTATAAACTATGTAAATTGTCTTTTAATTTTTTTTTTACTATTCGGATTTTAAAATGATTTTGGAATGGTTATTTATCGGCTATTGCACTCAATATTGTTAAATAATTATTAATAAAGTTTATAATAGCGAATTAATTACATCATAGTATTATTTATTATAATAATTATATTCTAATTAGTAGAAATGTGCGTTTAAGTGAATACTTTCAAACATTTATTATTGCAACTATTCATAACGCTTTTAATTTATTGTTTTTATTATTTTTAAATTACTACGAAATTGCATGAAAAAATAATCAATATTATTTTATATTATTATATAATTATTAGACATTGAAAAAATTATGAAAGTAAGAAAACGGCAGTTTTTCTTTGTTTCAGTATTACCAAGGCACACTATAAGTGTTTTTATACATGACGAATAATTTAACTTAAATTATGTTTGTCAAAATAAATTAAACTACGGAAGCCCATAAGGCTCACCGCTGACTGTGTCTCTAACATTGCTTGCACAACTTACTGATAATTTGCACATGCAAATCACTAGTGAGTTTTGCACTTTTTTTAAATGCTTGAATGCATGCGCACAAATCAAAAAAGCGGTAATTTTAACAAAAAATTTGATTAATTTAATTACAGATTTTATTAGAGTAAAAGGTAATAACAAATTGTTAAATTCGCCATTAAACAATGATTGTTTGAATTTAAATAAATGTTGTTTAATTTAAACATAAAATCTATGCAATGTGGTAATTCAATGAATTTTTCTTTGTCATTTAGTATAAAAAGTTTGGGATTCGGGGATAGAATTTTTCTATTCAAGTATAGAAAGTTCATAATAATTCATATTTTATATTAAACAAATTAGTAAACATGCTGTAAAAAATTTTATAACATGATTTTTGTTCAATTACATTTAATTACTAATATTGTAATATTTATCAATAATCTGGATCATGAGCAACAGAACAATTTTTTATTGTAAAAAACAGAAAAAAAATTAATGCTGCAAAATAGATATTTTTTAGCAACAATTCTTAAATTTTTAGATAACTCTAGTATATATAAAAAAATACTTTATTTATGAAGATGATAAAAATCGTGAAATTTTACTTATATTATTGATATGCTTTAGTAATAATAAATCAATTTTAATTCATGATCGACAAAATTAATAAAAAAAAACGAAATAATTAAATAAATGAGGGAATGAATGGAAATAAATGAAAGGAATGAATCACAGAGTATTACCTTTTACACAAGGCCAAATTGCAGCTTTAAATCACTTAAAGTTATTTCAAGTGATAAACTACAAAAAAAAAAATTCTTATAAAAGAAAACAAAATTGATATAATTAGCTAATTTACTCCATTAATCAATATGATTCCAAATACTACTTTTTTCGAACGTGAAGCTTTGTACTGAAATTCGTAGCGGGTATATAAATATAGACTGTTTTATAGTTTTAAGCAAACGCAAAAATGATAACATTACTTTCTCCACTTTCTGCGGCAATTAATTATTATTTGAATGATAAATTCATTAATCTTGCAATATAATAAATATTTTCAGTGATTCTGTAGCTTTCTCACTTGTTCTTCGAGCTCTTTAATTCGCAGTTGACTATTTGCTAGCTGTCGTCTCACCAGTCGAAGTTCTTCTGCTTGTCTAACGTAACCTAACCGTAGTTCAGCCTCATTGTTTGGAATTTCCACTGATTCCAGCATCTTATTGTCCGTTGTATTGTTCTAAATAAAGAAAAATTTTTACTGTTAATAGAATACATTATTATGTGAATAGCATATCATTGAAGACATTTTTATTCTATTTATTATACTATTTACATGATTTAATGATTAAGTAAATGATAGAATAATGTTAAATGAATTTTTTCCTGCTGTTCGTCACGCTCTGGTTATGATTGATGAAGTTAAGACTCAATGATGAACCTGTGTGAACTAAAAGTTGATGTTATAGCTAATTAGAACCATTAACAATCTTTAAGATAATTTTATTATATTTAGTTTAAATGATAGTTATCATGACATTGTCTTAACTTATGTAATAATAATTATTTTTGTCCGAGTATTGGCGCAAGACAAGATGATCTTGACTTTAGTGGAGGTCATAGAATAGTCAAATATTAAATTTTAGTAGGAATTATCTTAAAGATTAGAACAGTTAAAAAATTAATGATCAACAAATTAGTTAAATTACGTTGAAATAATGTTAATCAAATCAACTTTATTGCTATTACCTACCTTATAATAATTCGAATAGACTCCAAACTTGCTAACGAGCTCATAGAATTGGGTGCTACATCTCGGTGTCTATCAGGTGAACCATGCAAAGTGTTAGTATGACACAAGTTAACAAAAAGAATTAACAAAAAAAAATACAATGTAATTAGAAGTATAACAATGATTGAAACTCACAGGCAATTTGAAATTGTCAAGCATTTTACTTTTTTTTTTTCTATCAAAAGTGTAACTTTCTACAGAAAATTAATCACCAAAGTGTATAACAAACAAAATATTATACTTGACAATTGTAACTAGAGCTCTCGTTTAGATTCACTTTCTTTTCAGTCACAATTCAAGTAATAATTTGCCAAACAAAGAAGCTCAGTTACACTCGTGAGCAAGCCAACTATGTTACAGTTCAACAGATAAATTGCTACACTGTACGAGAATAGATTAGAGATTTATTTCAAAGTCAATTTCTTACCTGAATGGTTACATGACCAAATCTCTGTTGAAGTTGATGAATTTTCGTGCTCTGATTACTCGATGTTTTCTGACTTTTCTCCGAAATATCATGATCTATTGATCTATAATCAGGTATAGTTTCCGTAGATAAAAATGCAAACTTTTTTTTGTTATTTATATCTGTTGCAGGAGGTAATTGTGGAGGTTTATAAACTCGTGGTTTATATGTTGTAATACCCCCTCCAGTTTTGAGAGATATTAACACCGGCGGACTATTCATTCCGCCTATCCAGTCTTTTGCTGAAAGTCCAGGAGTTGTTCCCACAGTATCAGGATACAAGTCTTCTTGAAACTGATCGCTCTGATAACAGATAAAAGATTTAAATATAGCAAAACATAATACCTCAACAATAAATATTTCTATAGTTCTTGGGAAGAAATTAAAAACATTTATTAATGTTATTTTTATTTTTTTTTTGTTGAATTAGAAATGCAGATATTGCAGTTATCTTTGAATAAAAATACTCATAAAGTTTACCTTCCGTGGAACTATCATAGCAATTGGTTCACACATGCCTCGGGTGGCATGTAACTTGTAAAACCTAAAGACCTCACACATGGACGTGTTAATGCCTCTTTTTGGCATGACGCCTAATCCTCTCTGAGGATTTCCCGATATAAATTGACTGAGGTAGTGCAGCCAGGGAGCTTCGTTTACTACTTCATAATACCGTATATTTCCGTCACCCTAAAAAAGATAAAATAAATCTTAACATAATATTTCTCAAGATTAATCTATCATCATCAGCTTTATCTTTTTACCTTGCCAGCAAGATAAACCATGTTAGTATCATTATCACAAAATGGAAAAACGATTCCACTGGATGAATCTATTGTTTCACATGTTAAAGGACTTGACAGATCATGCTGACTCCAAACAGCATATTGACGATCAGAATGTCTGCTAAAACCAGTCGTTAAAAGACGTCCTGAACCACCAAGAAAAACTACTTTACTTGCTTTCGTTCCTGCATGACATACTCCTTCCTAAAAATAGTAATCCATCCATTGATTATTATCATTTGTTCATTTACATTTTTATAGATGTTTTTTAACTGATTAGTACATCGATTAACATACCGAAACAACGATTCCTGATCGCGGTTCGAAAACTCTGAGCTTTTTATCTTTACAAGTAGTTGCTAATAAGCTGCCATCCCTGTTCAAAGACATGCTGTAAATAACATCAGGATGACGATCGATAACGTTTATAGCCTCTCCACGGTTTATGTCCCATACAATAACGAGATGATCGAAACCAGCGCTAAACAGAACATTTTCAGCAACTGGATGCCATTCTATATACGCTACTCGACGTTTGTGACCCTGCAACTCTACTATCCACTCATTAAGGTTCCTTGAGAGACCACCATCGGGTATATGCCAAAGTTTGACCTACAACAAAAGCCAAAGATCAATATACTCATTCTTAGACAGTTAAAAAAAAAAAGAATAAGTTAGCCAATGACTTACTGTACAATCATCAGAGCAAGATGCGATGACATTATCATTAAACGGGTTCCATTTAATGTCTAAAACAGGTCCTGTATGTCCAGTTACTCTATAGGCATTGAAATCTAACCGGCCAGTCTGGAATCAATCAATATTAATTAGAAGAAATTTGGGAGTTGATTAGCAAGTTTGTGAACTTGTCTTCATGCTATTTCTACTGTCTAGATGTGATGAAAGTGGATCGAAATTTTTAAATAGATTTAAAAGAGAGAGAAGCTGAAAAATATTCAGGTGATACTCTAGTTGAAGAATGGCTGCTGAGGAAATTTACGAGAGCCGATTAACATCAAGAAATAGTCAGTGAAAGTTCGAGAATCAGTGTCTGGCAAATATACTATTAGTTGAAACGCATCTTTTCCTTGTCATCATTAACACTTTTATGAACATTTCAATGATTATCACTTATGTGTGCAAGGTCATGAGCCTTTATAAGATATGACTCATGGATTCGAATGCAACAGAAATAATTTAATGCGTGAATTTTAAACCATTCATCATTTAGATGAATGTCTTGTTTTCTTCTTCTTTCTCTTTTTTCCTATAGTTAAGAAAAAAAAATTATTTTCAAACTCACAAAAGCGTTTCAGAACTTCCGTAAAGTATTTTGTTATCCTTTCAAGTACTCTTATTTCATACTTTACTTTGAAAAATGTTATTCTTCAAGGTGTTTAGGTTTATAATCAAATAAAAAAGTTTTTTTTTTTACCTTATCCAAAGGAATAACAAGAAATGCTCCTCCACCAGCTACTTCCGTAACAACAGCAAGAAATTTAGGATTTACTGCACAAAACTGCGAGTCATGAGCATTTTTTGTTATCTTTATATTGTCGTAGCACTTGTCTCGCTTCGCTGGTACGCCATACACATGTCGAAATTTGCTGCTTCGCACTCCACGAAACCATGACTAGAATAAGCAAAGTTATATGTTAATTTATTAGCTGATTTATCGATTAGATAATTCTTTTTCCTTTGTTTGAATAAATTGAATAATTTAAATACATGTAGCAAGTTAAGTGTTACTAAAAATTATTTTCACATTAATAATGAAGTTGACATTTCAAGTGTGGGTTTCATTAAAAATTAAATCAATTCATTTAAATTATTAAAAAAAAAGAATTCAAAGAATTCTATAACATGAAACAATGCAAGTTATTTTATTGAATTAGAAAAATATTAAGTCACGCGATAATTTCTTTTTTTTTTTCTACTTTTTCACTGACCATTTAAATTGTTTAATATTTCTGCTATGATAGTTACATGGTATCGATCACTTGCGAATAAATAAAGACTTAGGCCTCGACCTATTTTGTCAAAGCAAAAGGGCTTATTTTTTTTTTTTTAACTTTCATTTAGATAATATTAATAATAATAATTAATATTTATCAGCAACATTAATTAAAAGTTTATTAAAATTCAATCTAACTATTTATCAAGCTGTACATTAAAAAGCAATAAAACCATGGAAGTAAACATCAAAGAATAATCTAATAGAGCTAATAAAAAGAATAAAAATACATTTACCTGTTTATCATTGGTCATTTTGGCCCAAAATTTAAAAAGTCATTAAATGTCTGATGATCATGTGCGTGCGGTAGTGCTCACCGTGGTATTTTCCAAGTTTCTAGCGAAATATCCATGCAAAATAAAGACTAGAGGGTAGAAAATAGAAGACAAACAGAGCAGATAAATTTTGCTGGAAACTCGTTAATTTGGAACTAGGTAGACACTTGCTGATCTCTCTTTTACTGAAATTAAATAATACAAAACCACTAACTACAAAATCATAAACACAAACAAATGTTTTTTTATATAAAAATAACATTAATTCTTAATAATATCAATTTAATCAAATAAAATTAAATGGAAAATAAAGAAAGTCATAAGTTGAAATAGAAAGTAAATTAAGACACACTTTGATAACTTTAGTTACTTAGTATTTTCCTATCTGGTGAAGATGTGCACGAAACGAATGGTCGGTTGTTACTGAACATTACTAAGAAACGAAAAGGCATAGTCGGTGTGGCTCCCTTCTCTCTCTCTACTTGCAGACTTACTACATGATATCAGCACGTGAGTTTAACTCTTTAGCTGCTCCATGTACATACATCAATCTAATGTAAACACTTGAGAGTGTTGATAATTTAATAGCAGTTTTCAGTAACTATACTATTATATTGTGTATAAAAGACCATTTTTATAAGTGGATTATTTTAATATTTAATAGCCATTGTTTTGATTTTTTTTTTAATGAAGTATAATTTATTTTTTTAATTTCTTTTTCACTTTCAAAATAAAATGAATGTTTTCTCATGTGAAACATGATGGAAGTTGTTGAATGAAAACTTGCTAGATTGAACAAATTTTTTTTTATCAATGAAGAACACACTATGATTTCTATAAAAAATGTAAACCATGTGATGAGACATCTCATCGATTTCACCAAGAGAAAATGACACGAGATAACTCGTCTTCAAATTAAAGAGAGAAAAAGGTCATCAAGTAGACAAAGATATAAATGAACAAGGAAAACAAATGTGTCTGATTTATTTGAATTATGTACTTTGGAGGAAAATAAGAAACAAGTTTCAGGTATCTAAGCTTTCGCTGTAACTGTTGATGTTTAGCTGAGTAGAAATTTTATTCGAAACATTTTAGAGAATGATCAAATATTTAGAAATCAATGTAAACATTGGAAAAAAAAGCAGATAATCAGTCATGAAGAAATTTAATTCGAAATGAACATGACAATTTGGATGAATTTAATTATACGCTCTAACGAGCGTTGGTCTGGTCAAGATGCTCAGCGTAAAATGAACCTCGAGCCCCGGAAAAGTCTGCTGGGGGTATGTATGTAGTGAAAGAGAAGGGGTAAGGGTGACAATGTGAAAGTAAGGGAAGTATTTTTAGCAGGGCCGATCAAAGATTAGCCAAGGATCGAATTGCACAGGTGTATTTAACTTATAGCTATAAAGTTGGAACAATAGTTTCTATTTTTATCATCACTCTTGATGATTTCTTCATTGGAAAATTGGTACAATAAATTCTCTTTTGTCATGATTATCTATCAATGACTTTTAATTCAGTACAGTTGCTGATGGTATTGGTATAAAAAATTCTCCATTGATGTTGGAGATTATTTCTATCAATAAAATAACCATTTGTAATAGTTGTTCTAATGATTTCTATGTATGTCAATGTAGTAAATTTGTATAGAAGCATCTAATCAGTGTGTGTTTTATCATTTATAATTATGTCAAGTAAGAATAAAATATGATAATCAATTAGATAAAATAATTACAACTGTAATAGATATAAATATCATATTTTAGATAATTAAATCAATGATGAGTTTGGTTAGAGTTAATATAACTGATAATTAGTATTGAATAGTATTTATTTATGTAAAGAGGATTAAAAAAATATTTCTAGTTGACTAGACTTTGATAATATTCTAAGAAAATATTGATAAAATAATTTAGTTTTGGCTGTTTGATGTGAGTAATTGTTTGAATTTATTATCAACTGAGCAGGTATAATACCAAGTTATGTGTCTACCCTTTTTTATTTCATGATGTACATGCTATATTGTTCATATAAAGAGTACGGACATCATCATCACACTTATTATGAACGAACACGCAGTCCAACCGACTAATTAGGGCCGATTACCTAATTTATATTAATTAGTTTGCTCACTACTTGCGTTTATGAATAACAATTGTATATTTTTATGCTCAAGTATAGCAGAGAAATTGATTTTTTTGTTTTCTTTCTTCCCATGTTTTTCTTTTTTTCAAATCAGTAATGATCTCGTAGGAATTTGTGAGACCGGAAGTTAACAATGAACGAGACTGAAATTTCAACGCTTATCTGGGAACTGTAAAAAATAACAGTATTTTTCGATGAAAAGTATTAAGATAGATTTTTTAGAATTAAAAATGATTTTAAAAGAAAAAATTGGTTGAATTATAAATTAATTAAATAAGAATAGAAAGTGAATTAATTTAATAAAAATGTTTACTATTTCAAAATTTGAAATGACATTTCATGAAATAAACCAACCATAAATAAAAAAATATCAAGAATCTGACACGACAAGTGCATGTGTGTGTACAAAGAAATGTCACGCGTGAGAAAGAACAAAAAATGCCGGTGAATATATCAACGCTACTCACATTTAATAGAATATCTACAATATTTAGACTGCATGATACAGGATATCAAAAGCTAAATAATGACAAGCAAGCAATTCTTTTATTTTTAAGAATTGATAGAAAGCAATTAATACTGCTTAAAAAATAAGAATAAATGATTTAGCGCGTTTTCTTACTCTCTCACTGGGTTTATAACAGGCCCTAGCGTCAACCATATTGCTCAACAAGTTGTGTTGATCATTCTTCTCCTCCTTAGTAAACTTTGATTCGAATTCTTCCTTCACTTTAATCATTTCACGGTCCCGAACGCTGTGGCCCATATAAAAAAAATACTGTTTGGCTTGGTTGGATTTTTTTTGGCTGAAACAAGAGGGAATACACCTCCACTTGGCACTCGTGAATTGTTTTTCGAGATATGTAAAACATCAGCGCCATCTTGAAATGTTCTACAATCGGTAAAATAGAAAATTGCTTCGCGAGTATCTTCATTATCGATCTGTGAGCATTTACTATAGTTAGTGTCGGATTTGAATTTATTCTTTATTATATTTATTTATTAATAACTATAACTTATTTAAATAGAAATATAATTGCTTTTTAATTGACATAAATTTCAACCAATCATATTCATTAAATAATTACACGTCCTAAATAATAACTGGGCGTAGTGTAGCCAACCTAATGAACCCAACCGGCTCCATTTTTGACGAATCGCCAATCAATATGGCATGTTTCTGAGGAAATTTTGTCATTATACTGTTTGACAGCGTCACTGACGGTCACTCTATTCGCTCCATTCTGCAGCAATTCATGTCTGTGGAAAGTTGATCGTGCACACGATTAATTTTTTCGACTAGTTAACACGTTTTCAATTATACATCGCCGTGATGTCTTCACGTAAGTAAAATTATTATTAATAAATATTTATAATAAATAAAAAGTTAAAGTGTTGCATGAAATTAATTTAAATATTTTTTTGATTGATTTTTCTAAACGTTGTGCTGTACATAACCAAAGTCTGTGAAAAACCCAGAACATGCCTTTAATATAATTATTTTATAAAAGTGTTTTTCAGTGTTTATCGTTTTTATTAAATATTATTTGATAATTAAATAAATATTTTTTTGTTATTTTCAGGCAAGAAAGGAAAAAAAACCAAGGGACAGACGCTTGCTCTGACAGAATTTTTGGCTCCCGGTGGAGTTCCTACTGTTCCCATAAAGACAACCAATTGGGCCGATGATGTTGATGACGCGCATGGTAAATACTCATATAATTTCTATATTTTTTAATACAAATTTCATATTGTTTAATTATTAAAAATATATCTGATATATTTTGAAATGAAGTTGGGAAAATTTTTTGGAAGCGTCTCAGTACTGAATAGCGTCGCTTTTCTTTTACCTGAGTACGGAAAAATCTAATTTAGCCTGGCTTTACAATAAACTTTCCCTAAAGGGCGTCAGGGCTGAGCAAACTCTGACCATTTGAGATTAAAATGAGACAGACTTATGTGGGTTCTAACGTGGGCCCAGAGTCTCTTTCACTCACTCTTATGGAACCATAGGAGCTGCTTTAACTCCCGAAGGTTGAGCTTGCCTAGCTTGCGTCAGATTTTTGGGACGCTTAGTCATAAAATTCTATTGTTTTTGTGGGGGAGGAATTGCCTGCCATTAGGGATAATTGACGCAAACTTTCTAAAATATGGAAAATGTATCGTTAATTTTAGAGTCAGGATATATGTCCAGAAATTCTAAAGAGCCGGTTGTTTTACCAACTGCACCAAGAGCAGCTCGAGGTCCAGGTGTTGACGAAGAAAATATCCCAACAAATCCACCATATGTGGCATATATTTCAAATTTACCTTATGATGTTGTTGAAGAAGATCTCACTGAATTTTTCCAAGACTTGGAAGTGTCAAATATGCGTCTTCCCAAAGATTCAACTAAACTTCGCGGGTACGGATATGTTGAATTTGCCGACCGCCAGAGTCTTATTGAAGCTCTTTCGCTGACTAGCTCGATGATTAAAACGAGACGAGTAAGAATTGAAGTATCGAACAGCAGCAATGATGACCGTCGTGGAGGAAGAATGAATATGGGTCGAGATAATCGTCGTGATGGATATGATGATCCAGAACGAACATCTGGAGATTGGCGAAAACCCAGAGATGAACCTGCTGGTGGAGGCAGCGATGAACGCTTTCGTGGGCGTGGTTATGAGCCTCGAGAACGTCGGGAAGAAAGAGAAGTTGACAACAAACCAGGTGCTTGGAGAGAAGGTGACAGAAGCGTTCCATCATTTGGTGAAAGACGTGGCTATAATGATGAAAGAAGTGGTGGGTCAGCTTTTGGCGAAAGACGTGGATACAATGAAGATCGCGGGCAATCAACGTTTGGTGAAAAACGTGGATTCCGTGAAGACAATCGTCGAGGATTCAGAGAAGAAGGAGGAAATCGACGCGGCTTTAGAGATGAAGATCGTGGTGATTCTCGCCGAGGTCGAGATGATGATCGGGAAAAAGATCGTGACTGGTCACGAGAACAAGGGTCAGGAGGAGGTACTTGGCGTTCAGAGCAATCTTTTCGTCCAGAAGTAGTTACTCGTAAGTATTGATTTCATGTAATTAATGATTTTCTTTTGTCTTTTTTAACATTCCATTGAAACTTTTTATTTATTGTTTTCAAATTTATTTATACAGCCCCATCAGAGCCACGAACCAGACCTAAGTTGAATTTGCAGCCACGTACAAAGCCAATTGAGCCTGTAGCTGTGGCAGATGAGCCAAAAGAAGTAACAAAAGAGAAAGAATCAGAGCCAAGACCGGCTCCAGCTGCTGTGCCAGCAGCAAATATTTTTGGAGCAGCTAAGCCAGTAGACACTGCCGCTAGGGAACGTGAGATTGAAGAACGTTTAGCACGAGAATCTGAAAAAGTAAAAACTACTGAGGAACCTCAAGGGTATGATCTAATTTGCAAACACATATTTTTTTTAAATTGAAACAAATTTTTTATTATTATTTTATTTACAGGGAAAATAAAGCTACATGGGCTAAACGAAATGGAGAAGCTCGTTTTGAGCGTGAGAAAGAAAAGCCACGAACAGCGTGGCGTGGAGATCAAGGAGGAGAGAACAGAGGAAGGCAAATAGAAAGACGTCAAGACTCGCGTGGATCGCAATCTGGACGCAATGGTAAGATTAAAACAAATTTTTCTTGCCATTTTATATTCTAATTTATTTATATTTATTATAATTTGTTTTTTTTTTTTTCTATAGAAAATCGCGGAGATGCTCGAGCTGATTCTAGGGGACCACCAAGCTCGCGATCTGGAGGAAGCTACCGTAATGAAGGCAAGAGAGAACCTGAACCTCGTCGCCCTGCTGAAAAGTAAGTTTCTTATCATATTTATTTAATTTTAAAAAAAGTATCACAATTGATACTAATATTTAATGAATAATTGACAGAGATCGCAGATCTAAAGATCGAGAAGATGCTCCAATGCCTAAAGCTGTTGATGAAGAAGCTCCAGTATGTTAAAAAACAAATTCGAGCATAACTTAGTTAATGATCATTTCATTTACTAATGGTTATTTTTCAGAATTTCGTGTTTTCCAATAAATATTCAATGCTACCAGAAGATGTGGACACAGATAACATGGACGATTAATTCTGCTCATTGATTAATTTAAATTGTGCCACAAAAAGCATTATTATTGGTAAACTTTATATACATAATGATCATTTGTTTTATTGCATTAAATAATATATTAAAATCAGCGCACGACTCGCGGTAGATCGCGCAAAGAAATTTTTTTGATTGATGAAATACTTCATTTTATATTTCGTCTATTTTACCATTTATATTATTCTGTATCGATTGAGTTTATTCGTATATCGTGATCATTGATAATTTATAAAAATGAATATATATTAAAATATCACAATAATAGTAATAATAGTTAAGGGGGAGAACGCGATGCCTAAATACTTGGGGAGAGCTTTTTACTTTATCTAAATCTAATGTACAGTTTCTTTGGAACTATTGTACAATATGTGACTTATATAAATGTAATATAATCAATTGGTATTAATTCACTATCTTAATATCTCGAGTATATATAATGAAATCACATAATATGAACATTATATAGCTAATCAATAACTGGCATTAAATACTCAGTGCTCGATGTGCATGAGTGAGTCCGTAAGAAACATAATTTTTCAGAGTATCATTAAATTTATTATTTGTAAAATTATTATATAAATACTAAATACATAAAATTAGATAAACAACGGTGCTTAATCGTATCATCAAAATATAATTCATATATCTACAATTACGTTGCTTATCAAAAAAATAATTTAAATAGATTCTAAGTATTATAATTATCTTTTATTGTTGAGTGGTCTGTGCTAACTGTCGCAATTGCTTCAAGACTGTCTCCAACAACTTTTTCTTATCCCTTTCACTTTTCTTGAGTACTGAGAAAACTGTTTTTTTGTCAGATTCTCGTAATCTGAAAAAATTTAAATTAATTAATATAGAAAGTATATTTAAATGTCGATTATATTTTATATAGAATAAGATCATTACTTTTCAAGCAATAACACTGCCATATTCGGTGTTACTAGATGGTATTTACTTGATTCATGGCCATAATCGTGGAAATACGTTGGCCAGTCCCAGCTCATAAATAAATCTAATAATTGTCTTAATCTAGCAAAGTACGCTAATAAAGAACCTTCAGGTAAACCTAAGACTGGTTCGGAAGCTGCGAATTCTATTAACAAATTAAGAATTAATTACTTTATGCTTTTTTAATGTAGTATTAATTTATTAACAAATTACTTACGTTCGCATTGAATTGTATCTAAATTAACTTGCTGAAGCGCACCCATTGATATTTGCTTTAGATCATCACTAATAAGAATGTTTAGAATGGCTTCAGCAATATGGCTACAAGCTGACTTGCATGCCACTTGTGCAACCTCTGCCTAAAAATTATAATAAAATATACAATAAATGCAAAATATTGATAGTACATGTTAAGTATCAATTAATGACTGTTTATTATTGACTTACTGGTAAATTTGTAAAGCATGTGAAAGTACTTTGCAAAAATGCTATAAGATCAGTAATGAAGCCTGAAGCATGGCCTTGGGGTTCTGCTAAATTCCAATCATAATTTTCTAGCTCTAAAAATTCATCAATTTTTCTTTTAAGTTTATCACAAATTTGTTTTTCTGCATCATCCCTAGCTACTCTAAACATTGCAGATTTAACTCCTTGACAACTAAGTTGACCTTCATGAGGTGTTCCAGTAATATTGGAGACAAATTCTTCTAGATATTGTGTTGATTTTTCCAGATATCCTGTATTAATAATTATCTGCACTACTTGAAGAAGTGCTAACGATGGTTTGCGAAATAGTGATGATAAACAACCACTGAAAGTTCTAGTTAATAATAAATTCGTTGATTTTGTAATCATTTCGTCAATTTCTGTTTGTGTTAAATTTAAATCCTCTGAGAATTTTAAACATGCGTAAATGAATTCTTTCACTTGATGATAAACCTTTGGAACCATCGCTGAGAAGGGGAATTTTTTAGGAAACTCTGCTTTTTCTAATTCAGCATCATGATAAGGAAATGATTGAACTACGACATCATAATCAGATTGTGTTGATACTTGAATTGGTAAGAAATTGTCCTCATCAAGAATGTCTCTGAATAATTGAACCCAATGTTGCATTAATACTTCATTATAATGCACTCGTATTTCTTGTAGAAGATCCCAAAGTTGTCCAACAGGATACCCATAATTTCTCAATGTTGTATTGAACAACATGATAAGATTTTTGATTTTTAAAATCAAAGTAGCGTCAGTACAATAAGCTGAATGGGTTCTCAAAGCATTGACTATTTTAGATAAAGCATTTGCCCATAAATCTTCCAAGTATGAACGAGTTACTAACCCATTTCCAGTGTTCAAAATATGGTCTTCAACAACAAAGAAACCAACGATGCTATGAATGTATGCTTGATACCCGACAATGCTTTCATGCATATTGATGGGTGGCTGAAGAACTAGTCTAGCTTGCTGTTTCCTCTGTTGTTGATAATAAGTCTTAAATGTTTCTCCTTCTCGAAGCACTGTATAAATATGCATACATCTATAAACAGGACTGAAATCCATCAAATCTTGGGCACTTAATTCTTCTTCTCCTTCATTAATAACTGGACTTGTTTGAATTTTTTTCTTCTTCTTACCAGTAATTTCTGCTTCATTAACTAACTGCTCTGCACTATGCCTCATTGCTACTTCTCCAATTTTCGGAGAATACTTCCTGATATTCTCTAGAAAGAATCGTAAATCAGACATGGAAGCATCTTTGATATTTTCTCTTAAAAGAGGTATTTGTTCAGTTATTTGTGATGAAAATCTGTAGTTGGTTACTTTCGGAAGATCATAATTCTCAAGGTGCTCTAGGGTCTTCAACGCTGGATAATATCGTTTATCTTTCAACTGTCTTTGAAGCTTAGCGTAAGCTGCAAGAACTGGTAGACACATTGTTAAACTATCAATAGCAGCAGCTATATTACTTTCGACTTTTCTAGCTTTGACTAATTCTTCTCCTTTTTCTATCACTTGAGTTGTTGATTCGCTGATCCTCTTGTCTAGATCCAGTATTTCCATCTGAAATTTCCAAAAAATACTTTAGTAATACTGATCAGTGATGAAAATAATAGGTCAGGCATGATAGATATTTATAACTAACATTTAACTGCTGGGCTTGTGATCTAACTTGTAGAAGTTCTCGAATAGAATCGATGAACCCTTGGTAATGATGATTGCACATTCGTTCAATTTCCTTGTCATGACTTTTGATTCTCTCATCCAATTTTTCCATAAACTTCTGATGTTCGTGTCCATCGTAAATCGCCCTGTAATGTATTTTAAAATAAATATGGTGCTTCATTGTTTTATTTTCAAGGATTCAATACCTTATAACAAGACCTACACTACTGGTATCAGTAGATTCTATTTCACATAATAAATGTTCATGTTGTGGAGCTGATAGAGCAAAAACATTGTGAACAAGTGATACTTTTGACATGTCAGTAGGACAACAAATGTATCAATCTGCTCTTGTTTTACCGACTCTGACAATATTTACATTGTTACCTTCAACCCTTTGATTGCGCAAAATCATTACACTTGCGTACGAGGGTGAAATTCACCCCCGCGTATTTTTAATAATAAAAATTTACTTGAAAAATAAATTTTCTTTTTAATAAACTTACCTAAATGTAGGACCTAAATAGTCATCAATACTTTCAATTTCTTGAATAAGTAAATCGTAATTCTGCATATTTATAAATAAATCAAAAATTAATTATTATTTGTCATTTATCATGGATATAAACACCCTCTTCAGTATTGCTTAAGACTGTTTTTATGTAACACAATACATAACCTAGTTCAATCACATTATCTTTTCATGAAAATCCGTCGCATGAAACTGTCATGGTCGCTAATGGCTGCTTGCGTTCATCACGCAGCGGTTTGTCATAAATACAGTGAATGTTAATTTGGGGTTTTTTAACATCTAAAATTTAATTTTAAAGTTTAAAAATATCACCAATTATTTTGTGTTAGTTATAAATAATTTTTTTCGATTTAAAAGCAAATAATGTGCTATGTTTATACATTCAGTGGCTCGTAATTATGACTGCATTAAAAAATAATTAAAATTTATTTACTTGTAAACTAGAAATCATATGATAGTGAGTATTCTGAAATATTGATCGATTCACAAATAAGATCAATTATTTTCAAGTGAAAAAATTAGTGGCAAAATAAATTCCAACACTATGGCTCCTGTACCATTGGAAGGACATCAAACTCCTGTAGCGAACAATATGCCGCAGGAAGGAAATCGTGGAGGTTCTATATCATTAGGAATTCTTATTGATTTCATCATCCAAAGGACTTACCATGAATTAACTGTTCTAGCAGAATTGTATGTATTTTTATGCAATAAATTTTTTTTACAAAAATTAGACTTGACTCATTGTTCTTTTTTATTCCAGATTACCCCGAAAAACTGATATGGAAAGGAAAATAGAAATTTATAATTACTCAGCAAGAACAAGGCAATTATTTGTTAGACTTTTGGCGTTAGTAAAATGGGCAAATAGTGCTTCAAAGGTCGACAAATCAGCAGTAAGTTTTCCTTCATTTATTTCTAAATATTTCTCGTTCTAAACTTGGCAATAGCTAATGTTATTCATATTTTATTACTCTGCATTGTATAAACTCGAGCATATTATAAAGGTTTACTGTTTTATTGCAGCATATAATGGCTTTTCTGGATAAACAATCGATATTATTTGTCGATACTGCAGATATGTTAGCAAGAATGGCTAGGGAAACCCTCGTTCATGCAAGATTACCAAATTTTCACATACCTGCTGCAGTAGAGGTGCTCACTACTGGTACGTATGGTCGTCTACCGGCGTGTATTAGAGAAAGAATCGTTCCTCCCGACCCAATAACGCCAATGGAAAAGAGAACAACTCTGCAAAGATTAAATCAAGTGATTCAACATCGCTTGGTAACAGGAAATTTACTCCAACAAATGCGAAATTTGAAAATAGAGGCTGGAAGAGTAACTTTTCTGGTGGAACAAGAATTTTCAGTATCTCTTACAGTTATGGGTGATGGACCGAATGTTCCTTGGCGATTACTGGATCTTGAAATCCTTGTATCAGACAGGGAAACTGGTGATGGAAAAGCATTAGTTCATCCATTGCAAACTAGATATGTTCATCAACTTGTTCAATCAAGGCTTGCAGAAAGTTCAAACTCACTCTCAGAAGCTTATTACATTCTTCATTATTTTTGCCAATCACTTCAACTTGAAGTTTTATATTCACAAACTCTTCGATTAATTCGAGATAGATTAGATGATCACATCCATGTGGATGAATATACTCCAGGAAAATGTTTATCGATATCTTACTGGCGAGAGTTAACAACAAAAGATCCTAAATCTGAACTTGGATATAAATTAACGGTTCATGTAGACCATAATGATCCAGCTAAACCTCTTGCAGTCGTTCATGTTCCTTCTTTAGGAAGTAAAGAAGGAGAAATAGCTGATAGAGCTATTAGATCTGATCAATTATCTATGGAATGTTTGCTTGTCCATACTATTTATGTTCGAACAAGATCAAGACTTACAGAATTGAAGCAAGAATTTCAAAGTATGTTCAAAGATGTAGAGTGTACCCTATCCGGATCACCAGCAATATTAGCAGTGCCAGTTCTACAACCTTGTTTACGTGCTGAACTTCTTTTGGTAACAGTTGATACTCATACGGGAATGCTTCAATGCCATGTGCCTCAATATGATGCTCCTCTTGTACCAGATTTAACTGCAGCTTTAAATGGTGATCATTCTCGTTTACCAGTGTTAATATCAGAATTACGATTTTGGATTACTCAACGTCGATGTGAAAAAACTCTTCAACATTTACCTGCAACGTCTCATGAAAGACTTCCTGTTCTTCATAATCCAGATCATCCAATGTCTAAAATAAGCAGACATCGAATGTTTGTGCGTTTACACAGGCATCCAACAGTAATTTTGATTGTTGCATTTAAAGAAAAAGAGTTATCTCCATGTGAAATTGAGTTTTCATTCTATTTAGCTGTAGTGAAACCAAGTTCAATTGAAGATGATCCACATGATGAGAGTATTGAGACTGAAATTCCAAAGATGTATTTAAAAGTTCAAAGCTTGATAGAATTTGATACATTTGTGATTACTCATGGTCCATTCACCAGTGTTGATACTGATGTATCTGATAAAGGAAATAATAAAAGACGAAGTTCGGGACCTCCTGGGCGTACTGATGCATCAGGTACTCTTCTACATAGACGACCAAAGCATCCAGCATATTTTATTCCTGAACTAGCACATGTTGTTGCACTCTGTGATGAGAGAATTCCATTTGTTAATCTAGCACAGGAATTAACTAAGAGAGATATTGCTCATCAAGGTCTTCAAGTGGAGGCCAATGCAACAGCATTAGTATTGAAACTCGTTCAATTATCAGCACCATCAACGAATATTAGTTCAAGTAGTGCTTGGCAATCATTGCTGAAGAGATTACTTAGTGTTTCCATTCGAGTTCAAGTTAAAGGAATGGCAAAAACGTGGATGGCAGAATTTGTATTCTACAGTAGTCCTTTGACGAGCAGTCATCCTAAAGAACAAGGATTAAGAAGACCTGTATATTTTCAATATGAAATGGGAACTGCTGAAACAGTTTCAAGGACTGTTGATTCATTATTAAATGATTGGGCGCAGATTGTACATCTTTATTCTATCGTCCAAGACTTGGCAGAATATTTTAAAATGGAAAAGTATAATTTGAGAAACATGGTCAGTATTAAGTCTTATAACTACAGTAAATTAATTCTAGCCTATGGACCAAACCGTTGTGCAACTGTAACCATTTTCTGGAGTACTAATGATAAAGCTTTTAAACTTATTTTTGCTAAAAGTTCAACAAATACAACAATAAATGCGCACTCATTAATGAAAGAACAGCTTGAGGCTCATCTTAATCGTCATAGAAATCTAGCGCAGATTATCCAGATTCTTAATGAAACTCTTCAACCACTTATTTCTATCAGCAAGTTACCAATTATACCTCAACTTGGTGTACACAATTCTCGACCTCAAGTTCCTGTTCAGACTTTCACAATCATACCTCAATGTGTTACACTGGTGAGGATTGCTTATCAAGGAATGTACTGTTTAGAATTGAGGTTACGAGGTGGAGGATTAGTCAGTTTACGTGATGGTGCTTACAGCAGATTCGATAGGAGTAATGTTGTAGATGAATTTACTCCAACTCAAGGACTAAAAACGTTCCTTTCAAAGTACGTGGATGAAAGTGCAGTATTCCGAAGACGTTCACAATCAGAAGATGATAATCCACCTTCACCAGTCACAATGGATAACGATACAGGAGTGGGTGGATTTATGGGCCACCATCGCAGTGGCCCACAATCTCCAGCTCAACAACGCGATGGATTAAGATTCCATCCGCCTTTGACTCCACCATCAGGTAGTAATCCTCACACTCCAGCTAGTCCTCATACAGCAAATATTTCTCAAACAGGCCAACACCAAAGTTTTGGCAGCAGTCCAGCTACCTCATTTAATCTTGCTTCTCCGCCTTCTTTACCACCGAACACACCTAACATGTTACCTCATCCGTCACCGGGATCAGGACTAGTGGCCAATAGTCCCTTAAGTCAAATGCATGTGCCAAGTCCAGCGGGACTAATGCCAACATCATCACCGGGACCTTGTAGTAACGTACAGGTCGGTCATTCACCTGCAAGTTCATTTATGCAGTCTGCGCATTTAGAAGGAAGCCCATTCCCTTCGTCTCAAAGCATGGCATCACCAGCTGCATCTAATTGGCCAGGATCACCGAGCGTTCCAAGACCATCACCAGCTAGACCTGGTCAGAGTCCAGGTCATGCTGCTTTGCATAGTCCTCAAGCATCAGATCATAGAGTAGGCAGTCACATATCCAGAGTTTTACCTCAAAGATCGTGGGCTGGTGCTGTACCTACTCTTTTAACTCATGAAGCTTTGGATTTACTTTGCACTCCATCACCACATCCTGCTGGACTTCCAGGACCTGATCTTTCACCTTTAGAAAGATTCCTCGGCTGTGTTTATATGAGAAGACAATTACAAAGGTTCATTCAAGCTGATGAATGTCTAACTGCTGTAAATAGTACGGAACCAGGTGTTGTACATTTTAAGGTCGAGACCTTGCAATGTCGAGTTGGCTTGAATCCTCAACATTTACAATCATTGCATATCAAAGTTCAACCTCTTCCTGAACATAAAGATCAATGGACATTAGAAGAATTACAAATCATTGAAAAATTCTTCGATACTCGTGCAGCAGCTCCACCATATAAACCTAACACTCTCTCAGGATTTGGAAAAATGCTAAATGTTCCTTTCAATGTACTTAAAGACTTTGTACAAATTATGAAGTTGGAATTAGTACCTGGTCTAGCACAGCAACAGCAGCTTAAATGGTCGGTTCAATGGTGTTTAAGAACACCACCATCAGCTACTCCAATAGTTCCTACGGGGATGGCAGCTGTATTAGTTTGCCGGAATAAGATTCTCATTTTCGTAAGTGTTTTTTGAATTATTTTTTTTTAAGTATATGTAATTAAAATAAAATTACTAATAATTATTTTTTGCTACGTTTCAGTTACAAATTACACGAATTGGAATTTCTTATCAAGGAGAACCACCCTCATTAGTTCTACCTTTAGTATACGACGTGACTACAAATATAACTCAACTAGCGGAACGCAGAGATCCCGGCCCGGCAACAGTAAGCTCAGCCGCATCAATGCAACTCAAGAGATTCTCGGAATACGGTATAAATCCTTCCGAGTGTTCTTTGTTCCCAGCAGTAAGAGATCTTCTAGCAAACTTAACTTCACCATCTGAGCCTCCAGTTATTTCCCAGGTAATTTCAAGCTTTTCAAGCATAAAAAAATGTTTAAATTATTTGTAAGGTTTTAATTGATAGTAGGAATTATTTATTAACGTTGTGATCCATTTCCAAAGGTCGTTGTATCGCCTGCAGCTGGTCAAGTGACGCCTACACAGCAAATTCAAAGTCCAGCAATGCAGTTGCATTCACCAATGGCCGGAGGACAAATGACTGGAGGACAAATGGCTGGAGCTCAAGGTCCACCTCAAGGGCCATTTGGAATGCAGGGGATGCCTACGATGGGAATGATGGGTGGTCCACCTCAATAGGATTTACCAGTAAAAATGCAAAATTGGGGCTCCAGCCCATTTATGCCGGGACAATTACTTTAATAAATATAAAAGAGCTCGAGAAAGCATCTTTTTACGAGGAATAACGTATTTTTAGTACTATTTTACGTTCAACGTCTACGGCAAAGTTCAAAGAAGACAAGTTGTACATATATTAAGCTACATAAAATAATTAGTATTCGATCGAGAAAAAAAAAGATTTATTTCAAATGATTATTTCTAGTAAATTATTACATTGAAGTAATAGCTAATGTTTATAAAAACTGATGTATGTAATTGTAAGAATGTAAATTAAAACACAATATGTTTCTCACGAATAAGAATAATATAAAACTTTTATTTTTATTCTGTGTGTACATTTTTTACAAAAAAAACATTCAATAATCTTAACAAATTAATGAATCATTAATTACTATTATTAATAGAATATTAATATTATTGTTATGTATATAAGATAGTAATAGTTTAATAATATTAATGATTTATATTTTAGTAATTACGTGTAGTCAAATATATACACTTTTAGGTCGGGTTATCAGTCTCTGTTTAAACAAGTGTGAATACATTTTTGTTATTAATAATTGACAATTTCTGTCAAATATGTTCCTCTTCTGTGTCCTATTCAATGGACAATTATAATATCACTTGAAATCTAAACAGTAAACGATTTATTTATTTTATTTTTTAAAGACGGATAAACTGACATAGAATGTTATATTACAATTCATTTTTTTTTCGAATGAACTTACATCAATAGTTATAATTATCATTGATTATTAACTGTTTTAATACATATTATTGGCTGTCAATTTATAATCATGACTATTTCATAGTTAAATATAATCAGTTATTTACTGTTTTTTTCACCAAATTATTAAACTTACAAAAAAATATATAATAATTATTTTAAAACAATACATTTTGTTCTTATTGTAATTTCCACTTATTTGTTCCTCCTATGTGCTCATTAAAAAAAAACTACATTTTGGAAAACAAAATAACAAACAACATATAAATATAATTTATAAACTTGATGAAACAAATTAATTGCTTTTTAATCTCTTGCCAAACGTTTGCATTCTTAACTTCCAAATGTTACTAAACATAAGTTAATAACTTTAATAATAATGCTGATCAAACATTTTTTTTTTGTCTTATCTTGACAAGGAACTTCTACAAAAGCTTTTTAACACCAAACGTACATAGAACATTTTGTACGATAGTACAAATAAAATGTTAGAAAAAGTGGTTAACATTATTGTATAATATACTAAATCCTACAATGAAGGAATGAAAATGCTGAACATTTTTTGTACATTTAAAGGTACGGTCACGAATACTGTGAAAACAAATAAGGAGCTGTGAATTGAGTAATTATTTAATAGAAAATAAATACAATTATTTATCAAAAAGTGCGTGCGAATGATAAACAAAGATATAATTTATTACATTTTTGTTTTACTTTTAAATATTATAATAAACTACAAAATGTTAAAAAAAAAACCTATACACTTCTAAATAAACATTATAATTTATAATAATAATAATAATAGTAAACGTCCAATAGAGCACAATTGGATCGTTCATAATCTATATTATTAAAAATCTTGAACGCAAAAACGACTCGTAATATAATTTATTATATTTTTTTTCATCTTGGAATTTTTCTTTGTTTTTTATACAAATGAACAACAAAAAATATATTTATTGATAGATGCGAGTCACGGCAGTTTACAAGTTACAAATATTTTTTAACTTTCATTGATAAGATAGTTTTAAAGTTACTAGAATTTGTTTGACTTTCTATACATTTATATAGATTATTAAAGTAATAATGATAACAAGAAATGCATTATTCATATAAACAAAAGATTTGTAAGTATTCCGTGTAACCTCGCTTCGGTCAATTACAGTAATCTCTGTCTTACTTTCTAGAAGTTTGAATGAAGTTGAAGTTGCACAAAATTATTTTTTTTTTGTCTTAATATGATAGCCAGCTATTTAATGTAAATTTCTAAACTATATAATATTTTAATATTTTTTGTTTTATATAATTTTTTAAATTGTTAATTGTTAAATAAATAATTAATTTGCAGAATCGTAGATTGAGACTGATTTGTTTGTGCACAAAATTGTAGACATATTAATAAAATATTTTTTTATTATTTTTTATTTTTTTTTTCGTATCTTTCTTTCTGTTTTTCAAGCAAGCAAGGCACAGGACCTCTACGGGCTCAACGTGCGAATGCTAGGAGGCACTACTCAACAGATCCATGCTCTTTACGTCTCGTCAGCAGCAGAACCACCCAGTTACCACTGCAATTAGAATTTCTAGAGTGCTTGTAATCAATTCACTATTAATATTAAATAAAGAAATAGCAATTAATTAATTTTTTTTTTGTTTTGTTATATAACAGAAAATAGAAATATTAGGATTTGTTTTATATATTTTCTTTTTATTGTGCACATCAAGAATGACGTCAAGTTTTACCACCACCTTTCAGAGAATTTTGTAACATTATACCAATATAGAAGAATATCTTTAGTGTTTGTAACTATTGGAAATGCTACTCTGTTCTATGTTATTGGAGAGTGTTGGTCAGAAAATACTGGAGCATGCAAAAAATTCTACTGAAAAGCTCAAATATCGAATTTTTATTGAAAAGTTGATGGTAAAACCAGCTTAATATATTTTTTTTCTTCTTTCTCTCACATACATTGTGATTTTATCAACTTTTTATTACCCATTTTTTTTAATGCAAATACTTTGGAATATTTTTTAGTTCAAAAAACAGAGATTTAAAATAAAATTGAAGTATACACAATGTAAATGAAAAAGAAAGCAACTTTCTTGATTGCAGCATTTTTAACTGAACAATTTTTTTTTGTTAAAAAAAATGTATTATTTAGAAATAAAATAATCTTTTTAATACATTAAATGTTGATCGACAGTTTGGTGTAATACAGTGAGCTCGAACGAATATTTAGGTAAATTTCATTCAATAAAAAAAGCTGATATAAGGGAAATCTAACCAGGCGATGATTGAATTCTATCTCATCAAAGCTAGTAGGGAGGGTAGATTAAATCGATTAAACAGCTTGTGTTTAATCAAATCAGATAGGTGCAGGAGAACACAGAAAAGCTAGGTGATTAACTATTCACATCTTAAAATACATTTAGCCCACATTAACACTCATTACTGTTCCAAACTGTCGTCTATGTAAATTCATGAAGGTAAATCAACCAAAAATGGATAAATATCTAGATTGATATTAATAGCGGAAAAATAGACAAAGCCTCAATCAGGATTGATTAAAAAGAAACACATGCATGAACTGTCGGAATAGTTAAAAGCTACCTACATCATCATGCTTATTGTTACATGTTCTGTTAGACGTGTCTGAAGTTTGGAGATTTGCGCGATGATGATGGAGAATACAGGCAATGCAAAGAAGACAGAGTTCCGTGGGAGGTTAACGATCAATTGACACCTTCATCCCGTTTTTCTTCAGTATGAAAGAGAATGGAGGAGAGGGAACGAATAGGAAGAGCTAAATACAAGAGCTCAAACATTACACGTAATAATGATAAATATAAAAGAATAAAAAAGAGAATGATATTATAACTAGTGATGAGGGTAGGAAATAAAGGAAGGCTTATATACTTCACCGAACCATCATCCTCTTATTTCACCATCACCAATTCACCAGGCCTGCCTTGACGACACGTCTACGCAAGCTAAAAGAACGTATTGCTCTTTACTTGTAAATAGATTTGCGAAGCGAGCGAAATATAGGAATAAAAGAGATAGTAAATGATAAAAGAATGTAAAGAACAATAGAAAAATATTTGTTTTCGAATTTTGCTTGGAGAGATGGAGCTTTTTTTTTTATTATCAACGTTCAGTTATTTTAATATTAAATAATATCGCGTACTGTTCCGCCACCATATACTTTTTTGTCTTTAGCTTTTATTTATAATTTAGGTCAAAAACCATTTAAATTAGAAATAATTGATTTGTTGGGCAAAACGTTGCACGAGCATGCGCTAAAAATCAATAGCTTATTACCATGGGATAAAAATTGAAAGAAATGAAGCTTGAAAGAATTATTTATAAATATTAAAAGAAGAGAGAAAAAAACGGAAGAAGATACGGTCTGCATTGGATCTCAATTCACAGCATTTAGAACGTAACAATTAACGTAATTGACGTTTACAATCGTGACTCATCTCTAAGCTATTGCCAAATTAGGAACGCTATTACAACGTTCTCATGTATGTTGTTGTTTTTTTTTTATGTGGGTTTTTCTACACTCGAGAGTGCAAGTGAACCCACAAAAGAAGAAAAATATAATAAAAATAAAAGAATGATATCTTTTATAAATAATTCATTCGTTTTTCTCGAGTGAATTCGCGAGGTGGGCCCCACTTTTAGCATTCCCGTGTGTCTCTACTCGTTGCCGGGTGGCTCTACGCATCGATAAACTGCAAATTCAAGTATCCACAAATAGAAAAAACCAAAACAGAATAAACAATAATATCAAATAAAAAATAAAAATTTAAACCATCATTGTACAAAAACAAAACCGCGTGCATTATTGTCATGATATGGCATATGAGTATTTGTTTTTCTTAAATTAAGTTTTTATCATGTAACTCTTTGGTTTGATCTAAAATTATTATGATTTAAAGTCAACTTTAATGCCGTGCCTACCATGTTGAGGACGCCAATAACAGCACGCCAAATACAATGCCAAGATGATGACAAGAATTTCAATGAATACCAAAACTACTGCTACCCCAATCACTATAGCTGCATTTTCTTGAATAGTGCTTACAATAGCCTTGTAACATCCCTAAAACATTAAATAAATCTTATCAATAACCTATATTTCAAAATTATTGATTTTTATTTTCTTATAAATACTATTTATAAACTGATATAGGAAACTTAAATAGATTTAACCTTTTTAATTTTGATTAATATTGAGTTCCAAATAGATAATAAAATAGATAAGATACCACACCTGCATGTAATAAGAGTTAGTGTCTGATGGCCTTGTAGGACAGTTTGGATCCTGCATATCACCATTGGAGTATATACAGCAACTTCCAGGTACTAAGTATCCTGATGATGTTGAATTCAAAGCATTACGGAAATCATTGTAGTCATCAACTCCACAGCAATGCATCTACAAAGCCAATCAAGAATATTGTAATATCCATTTCCAATGTTCGCCAGCTGTGATAATTGTGAGCATTAACCGTAACGTATCATATTAAAAACCGGAAGAAAGGATGCATGTATACATTTTTTTTTCTTCTATCTTCTATGTATTAACTATAAAAAGAATTAATTATAACTCCTGTTTACCTGTCTCATGATACCATCCCACGCAAGCGTCACAGCTCCAGCGTTTTCATATGGACTATTCGATCCATAGTATTTTATTGTGTACTTCAGGAATTCTTTCGTACCCTTTTCAGCCTACAAATCAAAACAATATTAATTATAAATAATTCAATCAGAATAATTGGAAATAATCTTTTAAAGATTATCTTTTAGATTTTAAAAATAATTTTTGAATTTAATTAGTTGGTTGAAGATAGATATTTAGAAAGTAATTTGCTTTATTAGATCATCAAGAATACGTGATAAGAATAAAATCAAATAGTGTTATACTCACATCTCCTCTAAGACCAAATGCCAAACCAGCTGCTATACATTCTAAGATCAGCACAACAAGAATAAGAACTCCATACTGCAAAAGTTGAGAAATTATTTGATTTCTATTGGTTCATTAGAGATATATTTTTAAAGTAAAGTTTAACTAATGTTGGAAGGAAATTAATTTGACTAATTAGAATAATTAGAACGAACTTACGACACAGAGTAAACATCTAGACTCGAACATGGCACCACAGTATCCTAGAAAGCTAACGATGAACGTTAAAGCTCCAGCAGCAATCAAGATGTAAGAGATCATTTTCGTGACATCATCGTGCGTGTGATTCTGTAATGAAATTATTTCAAATATATTAGAATAATGAATATTAATTGTTTGATATTTTAGATAAATTATGTGATAAAAATACAAGCTAAGTTTTGATGAAAAATAGGGGAAATGAGTTTCTACAATAGAAAAGATATCTGAAATTTTAAAGGGGAGCTTGCTTTTGGAATTAGGTCAGCAACTTTGGACATAAAATTTAGCTTGAAAGTGGTTTCTTTTCAGAAAAAAAATCTACTTTACAGAGAATGGATAATGTGATGGATACAAACAAAGCTCCTTAGGTATTTCATTTGTTGTAAAGTGATATCAATCCTTTCTGAAAAGATAAATCATGCCAAATTGACCTAAATTCAGTATCAACCTAGAAAAATGTGAATTCAAATACATAAGTATGGTGGAGCTTTTATATTTAATGACCCAATTTCAAAATCAAGTAAGTAATAAGCTTTTGGAAATTTAGTTTTTAATATTTTTATATTTAATAAAGCTGACTATTTTATATTATTCAACTTCACTTTCGCATAAATTTATTATTAAAGATAAATATAAAATGACCTAAATTTTAAATATTCATCTCATTCCAGAATAAAATGTAGAAGTTCTTTTGAGAATTCTTGTTTTTAACACGTTCTGTGCTGGAAACTGTTTTGTGTTCAACTACTCAAGTGAATTACTTTCGATCTGCCACATTGTAGTTGCAATTTAACACTTGCAAATGTTTTGAAATAAAACATAGTCAGAAGTTGAAATTTGCAAAGTAGATTTGGAATTAGACAGTTGGAATGTAATATTGATACTGATGATAAACTAATTCTTGTTCAGCAATAGAACATTGATCATTGGATATTGATATTTTGCCAGCAATATTTTTAATCATGGATAAAGGCAATAGTGTTTAATAACCATATTGAAACAGACTCATAGATGATTTTAAAATAATTAATAATAGCACATTATCAGCAGAAGTTATCAGTAAATTCATCAATAAACATTTTATGCATTTTATTTAAGTGTTTTTATTTGAAATAAAAAATCATCTTGATTCATTAAATAATTAATTGATAAATTTTTTATCTTTTATTGAATAGAAATAATTTAAGTCTACATCATAAAACGATATATGGAAATGACACAATAAAAAGTAAGTAAGGAGTGTTGAGTTAATAAAGAGCACCTGTTGAATGAATAAATCAATTCTTATTTCTAAAAGATTTTAGTTTCAATTAAGATTGATCAGAAGTTGATCGAATTTTATTGATACAAATGAGGTATCATCATATGTGACCAAACTCCAAGATAATAATGACCCTTCAATAGTAAATAATAATAACTTCCTGAAGTATATGGTAAGAATAAAGATAGAAAAATTACTTAATATTTAAGACACCTGTTGATAGTGAGCACGTAAACATTTAGTTAGTAGTAGTTGAGAGTTATCGATCTTATCACATTCAGGTGTTATAAATGACATGGAAGATGGGTATAAGTGTCCTAGGACATGAGTGGATATAAAAAGGTCTAAGTATTCAAGTATAAAGTGAGCTTCTATTATACAGGCCAGGGGAGGAGCTCAATCGATCGTCCGTCGACGGTCGACGACAGCACTCAGTAGCTGTCTTGCTTCTTGTTATGAAATGTGGGAGTTCGAACAGGTGTAAACCTCATTATTCAGGGTTAAAACGTCTAGTCAGACAAGCTGCTTTTCTCAATAGGTTACTGACTTAAGTCATAAATGGATTAGTTTATCAATTTCTTTTTTTTTAATTCAGTTTTAATTCATTGGCTCGTTATGGTGACCTTCATTGAATTTTACAGGTTTTCGGATGTAGGTTAACTAGCTAATTATACCTACACTTATAATGATATCCGGTGATATTAGTAAAGCATTCCAAAAATTAGTATCTTAGGGTTGATAATTATAGGGTAGTAATGTATAATTATCAATCAACCTTGAGAGAAAGAAATTAATCCTGCTATTTGATGATACTTTTTTCTTTGTTTTAATTGTTGAAGTAATATAAACAAAGTGTCCCAATTTGGTAGAATTAATTTACAAGTATAAATTAAATTGTGTCGTAAAATAAAAAATTGAAAATAAACTTGTTGATGATGTTTTTTTTAAAAATACATGAATGTTGATGGTGAGTTTAATTAATGAACGATAAATTATTACTTCATGATTATTTTTTATAACAAATTATTTTGTTGTGAACATGTTTTTTTCTTATGATGTAAAAAAAATATTTATCTAATAATATTTAACTACTTATTAACAGTCACCTGAAGTGATTGATAATAATTCTTAATGATTTGAAAAAGTAATTAAAAATTATTGATATGTATTTTTAATTGATATTTCAAAATAACAAGACATAATTAAAATAATCTCAGAGAATAAACAAAAAAAAACAATTAATTGGCACATTTTATTCTACTAGGTCATAACGTAAATTAAAGTCTTGAATTGTTTTTTTTATTATTATTATTATTTATTTAATTGATGTAAAAATAAAATAAATTATAATTGTCAAATGGTAATTGGAATTTTTTATAACAAACATTAGATACACTTTGGTAATTACTGGTATCAAATTGTTCCTCAGTGTAGCTCTCGAAATATTAATCAACAACTCAAGTACAGAATTTCCGATACTTCACAATGCCATCCAATCTGATAATTATCATGCTTCCGAGGCATCAGTGGCATCTAATCATCATTTGAATATTTAAGGTATCTTTTCTGAAGAAGTAATTTAGAACAGTCAAGTATTTTATCAATAAAAAAAAAACATAATAACAATGGTGAAAAATTTAAAGTCGACTAGTAAATCAGGACGAGAGAATCAAGTAAATCGATGCTCTGCATTCAATGTATGCCAGGGGTGTTGAAGCAATCATTAAATCTTCATGGAAAATATTCTGATTACTATAATCACTATGTAGTATTTTTTGTTCTAGACAATTAATATTTTGTGTTAAGCATCTCCAAGTATCTGTCCTATTTTTATATTTAAATCAATAGCAATTATGAAGAGAACAAATTAAACCAAACTCTTGATAGTTGATCATAGTTGATGTTTAAAAATTTTTTACGCTTCACGCAACATGAACCTTTGATCAATCTCAACAGCAAATTGTCAGTGAATGAAGTGGAGCATTCAGTACTAATTATTTGCCTGTTCTGTTATTATCAACATCTCAAAGTCTACTGGTCACTGTTCTGTTGGTAATTAACGTCTTTTACAGATATTATGAGAAGGGGTTGTCGTAATAAATGAGTCTTGTCATTTACAATATGCAGACTAGATTAAGATTTAGTAGTTATCATAATCCTCAGGAAATATTGAAGAAAATTTATAAGTCCTATAAAAGTGCAATATTATTTTAAAGTTCTTTTTTATTTTGTCTTAAGAAAGATGAAGTTGTAAAGAAAGTTTCATTTCCTTGTAATTAAATTGTTCTGACTGAACTTTACTAAAAGCAGAAAATATTTATTTTAATGAAATATTACGGTTTCTTTTAAACAATTTTATATAGCTTTTTCTTTTCAAGAAAAAGAGTAAACAAGACTGCAATATTTAATTTGTGATTTTAATTTAAATATTCTTAGAATTGTAATTACTTTTTTCCCCCAATTATTATTAACAGATTATTTATAACAATGGTTTAAAAACAAATTAACTCATCAAGATCTATAGCTAATAATTATTTTTAAAATGAATATTTAAACAATTTTTAACTTCCCATTAGAAATTGTCGTCACCATTTTTTATTTTTTAGTATGCAAAAAAAATTGTTAAAAAAAATGCACCTTTTTGGGGTTTTTTTTCCATTTTTATTTTTATAAATAATTTGTTTATAAACAGTTAATTTCGCCCTATCTATGCTGTGCCTTCCACAGGTCTTAATGGGTAAATACCTAATAGAAGAAGAAAAAAAAAATTAATAATCATATTTAAAACGTAAGTTATAAAGGTTTATCTATGATAATAATATTTTCATTTCTCTTCCTTATCATATCTTTCTTCATTGTACATACTATTTTTATTTACAAGTTTAATAATAATCTCAGGAAGTACAACAAAAAGGCTTATCTTCAAAATCCAATAAAAAAAAATCTCCATATTCTGAAGATAATTTTTTCTTTATAAAAATAAATAGCTCAAGTTTCAATGAAGCATTAAAAAATCTATTAATTAAATATCTAACTAAGGTTACTTAATAAAAACTTGAACATGACTAAATTTAAGACAAGTAATAATAAAAAAATGATCGACGACATTTTAGAATGGCAATGTTATAAATATGTGGATAAAAAGGTTAATTATTACTAGATCGTCAATTTTTGCTTGTTACGTTGGATCAAACGTGGTTAAACCATCCGTGGGTTGTAGATATGGGTTATAATTATCACGTGTGCTCTGCTGATATTTTCATTATAACCTGTGTTACGCACTATTCTTCTCACAGATGACGTAATTTTTTTTGTTAGAAAGGCCAACTAATAATTATTCATGCCATGACATGACTAATTAAGTGCGAGCGGATTTTTCCTATTGAAGGTTCTTCATCAAGGCTGCAGAAGGAATCATTATTATATCCAGTATTTTGCACAATACAACACCTCATCACTTGGCATAGAAATCAAGTCTTCAATTGTATTTGTCGTGTTTGAAAATATATTAGAGGAAAAAACGTGGTTGGAATAATTGACTACTTTTTCCATGTTTGACTTTAGAACATGTTTTTCTTTATTTCAATTACACACTTATTCTTCTTCTTCTTCTTCTTCTGCTTTTTCTACATATTTAATGTGATGGATTATGTTACGCAATCAGCAAAGATTGCTGGAGCATTTATCTTCAAGTACTTGCGTAATAAACGATGAGTACCTTTCTTCAAGTGCATTCCCATTTGACAAGACATGTTTAATGTTTACATAATTAAGGATATGTTTGCTCCAACTATGTTGTAGAGTGTCAGACAACACATTTTGACAA